CAACGTCGTCATCCAGGGCGTCTGGCACCTCCGCTCCTTCCGCGAAGCCCTGCTCAATCTCAGGCCCCAGGTGAGACCTCCCAGCAACTTATGACATGATGTAGCTATTGACTGTCACCACAGGTGCCTCGTTGCTTGGTTCTTCGCATGTTTGGTTTCCAGTGGTGTGTTTTACTTTGGGTTCAGGGGACCCACAGAGAGAGTGAAGCCAGGGCTCACAGCTGGGAGTCTGATCTAAATCTGAGGGCTGCTGTCGAAAAGCAGAATTTGGCCATACTCGTGCACTGAGGGGTCATCTGCAACCTTCGCTAGAACATCGTTACAAATGAGTAATCACAGCGTGGACCAAATGAGAATTCAAGGCTGAAAGCTGTCGCGCATGCACAGGATTTGGAAGCGCGGGGGGGACTGCCGGAGGATATGCGCGTGCTGCGCGCGCTGTGGAACATCTTCAACGCATTTGCTGAGCCGCGCGAGGAGCTGCTGGGAGCTGCCGCCGACCAGGCCGCCCACAGCTCATCCTCCTCCGCTCCCCTTGCAAACGGTGCGCGCCCCTTACCTGGCCCAATGCAGCGTGGTGTGGCCTGGCTCTTGCTGATCAAGCTTTTCAGGAGCTTTGGGCGATGGAAGAATTTGTCAGTGGCAATAGTACTGCTGTGCAGTACACTCATCGTTTTCCACTCCTGATTTGCTGCCCTTTGAAGTCTGCGGGACTGGCAAACATGATCATCCTTGGGCATCAAGGTGTCTGCAGCAGAAGCATGGGAATTTGCGGGGAGGCTAGAGGGGTGACGGAACGGGTGTGTTGCAGGGGTGGGGGACTCGGACCCGAAGCGCGCAAAGCGTGACGCGAGCGGGAAGCCGTCGGGCAGCTGGACAGTGTCGCCCACGGAATTGCGCGAGGCGCTCAGCGGCCTCGGCAAGGCGGCCGTCCGCTTCGAGCTCAGCGAAATGCACGACGCGTCCGAGGTGAGCCTTTTCCTTGTCCTGTGCAAGAATCAACTTTATCCTGGGCGGTCATATTTGCTGCCAAGCAGGTAATTTGTGCGTAGGCTTGGGGCACGGGGCGTGCCGGACACAGTGAGACCAGATGATCGGCCTTATGTGTGTTTGGGGAAGGGTCATGTTGGGTGGGTGAAGGGATAGTGCTCAGAGATTCCTCTTGTTCACAAATTGTGGAAGTGCTTGAAGGATATTGTGGGTGCGCGCAGGTGTTGGGTGAGATATTCAACGCGATCCACCGCGCGGATCTGGGCGGGGCGGCCGAGAAGGCGGCCGACCTGCAGCTGCCGCGCAAGGTGCGTCTGCCAGCTCCGGGCGCCTCGCCCGCGGCCGCAGCCGCCGCCATCGCCGCAGCGGAGGGCAAGCCCACAGCAAATGGTGGCGGCGCCCCGTCGCAGGGAAGCCCACAAAGCCTTGTGCAGCGCCTATTTGGCCTCGACATGCAGGTCAGTCATGCTGTCCTCACCATCGTCACCTCAAAACATGCCTTGCTGATCAATAGGTCCCTTAATTCATGGCCCTGTGAATGTTCCCATGGTCCACAAGCTTCTTTCTGCATCCCGCTTGCAACTTCAAGCGCAGGCCTTGCAGCATGATCCAGGGCATGCATCTACTTGTTGATGCATTCTGTGTGACACCAGTATCACTGGGTTGCACCAGTCATCGAAAGGGAGCCACTGCTGCAGGTGCCAGCGCCAAATGATGACGAGGAGGAGGAGGGCAGCGCGAGCAAGCGCGCCAAGGGTTCGGGCGGCGCAGTAGTGGGCCGCTGGCAGGAGCAGCCTTCACGGTCAGCCAGCCACAAGGAGCTGCGCGCAGCCGCGGCCGCTGCCGGCGCCAAGTCAGGCGAGGCGAAGTCGGGGGACATGTCCCCCGCCGGCGGCGGGGGGTCCGCCGCGCCAAAGCAGGCGCGGAAGCAGAAGGACCCCAACATCGTGGAGGTCCTGCGCTTCATGAAGTACTTCCATCTCGTGCCCGCCCAGGTGCGCTCCTTCTGAGATATTTGTTTTTGCTGTTCAGGCTCATATGAATGCTCACAAAATGTAGTACTGCTGTATGTTGTGCTGTCCGCTTGGCTGGATGGGCTCTGTTGCCATAGCATTATGCTGTAGTCATGCAATGAAGGGAGGAAATTTGCCTTGGAAGTCCGTTGCTTAGATGATTGTTACAAGGCTGCAGTTGCTATTGCATGATCTGTCTTGTCCTGGGGGTCTGTCTTGGGTGGGTTTCTTCTGGGGCAGTGTCTGGGGCAAGGTACTGAAGCCCCTGTGCATATGCACTCCAGGGGTTGCGGCTGGCGTTTGACCTTATGATCGGCAGCCGCTTTGAGGAGATGGTGCGGGAGGCCGACGTGGCTGAGACGCTGGCAGCGGGGGGCAGCCCCCCTCCCGCGGGCTCCAAGAAGTCCGGGGGCGCGGTGCACACGGCCGAGATGACGCTGCTGCGCCGGCCCGCCGTCTTCACGCTTGCCATCGTCTGGGACTCACCCCAGGTGCGCCTTGCAGACTCGCCTGCATAGAGCAGGGATTCATCGTAATAACATTAAGGAGCTGTAAACACCTTCGTGCTCGCCGCGTACGTGTTCATTTGGAAGAGGGCCCCTTTACGATGTATTGTGATGGACAGCATTGTACAGAAGGATGCCCACAGCAGGGCTGGCATGCTCAGAAGCAAGCACGAGTCGTTGCATCAGACTTTGGTACCCGTTAGTATTGTGTTCGAAATGATAATCAGCAGAAAACGCTCCGTGACTGCTTGGGATATCTTGATGCTGGATATCGGGATTCCATCTGACGTATGCAAATAGTTCTTCCTCTATCAAGGGGTCTCTCTTGCGCTCAATTTGATTGAAAACCTGAATCTCCGTGCAGGCGTCGCGGGACGCGATATTCAGCGTGGTGGACTCGCTGGCAGTGAGCCTGGATGTTGGCGTCGTATTCAAGGGCGTTCCTGTCGGCCCCTCATACGCCCTGCGCACCGTCGTCTGCTACTTTGGCCACCACTACCAGGTGCGGTGCCCCCAACACACTCAAATTATACTTTTCAACCTATTCTGGAAGCAAAGAGCTGTATGCCCGTCCTTGCCTCTACCTGCCATACTATGGGATTTTCGGCGGCTGTCCTTTCTGGCGCTGCTCCTGGCCAAAGATCCTCAGTGAACTTCTCATTGGGATCAGTGCTGCTAGCAGCAAGCTGGAAGCAGGGCCAAGCAGATGGCAGTCAAAAAATGCATGGTACGCGGCATTCATGTTTAGAGCAATCCAGATTGCCCTCTCCCGCCTGGAGCTGCTTGTGTTTTTTGCACCCTACGCCCCTACATGCCAGAGCAAATTGCTGACAGCTCCACTGTTGTGCAGGCGTATGCGCTGAGCGAGGAGCTGAACAAGTGGCTGCTGTTCGACGACACCAACATCAAGTTCATCGGCGGCTGGCGTGAGGTGGCAGCCTCCATGAAGGAGGGCCGCCACCAGCCCTCCCTGCTGTTCTACGAGCGCGTATGATCCTGAGCAGCCGCCAGCTCGCCGCTGCGCTGCGCAGGAAGCTTCCCGGAAGCTTCGCGGAGCCGATCCTGCAGCGCTGCAGAAGGCTCTCTCAGTGAGGGAGTGTTGGATCATGGGAAGATGTGGCATAAGCAGAAGCCATGCCATACTGGGCAAATTGTTACTCATGCCATCTATTGGCAAGAAAACATGCAGCATCGGAGGTTTGGCTCCGGTGGCTGGTTGCAGGGCAATAGGGGAGGGTGAGCTGTGCCAAATGTCCCATGAGGCACAAGGCATAGTCAGGTGAAAGGGACTGTTCTGTCTGGTAGAGGCAGATACTGTGTCCAGCGATGCTTGAGCAGGGAAGAAGTCTGAGAGGATGCTTTTGGTATACGAGATAATGCTGGGGGCAGCCCCATAAAGCATGCAGGTGATGGGGCAAGTTGGGTTGAGAGTGTAGTTGGTTTACGGTAGGTGCAAAGGCTGTGAAGAGTGGTAGCAGAGGGTGGGTTTATCCACATGCATAACACATGGTAGGAATGTGCGTGCTTGCTGTCTCACGAGGGGACTGCCTCCTTGCCGAGGCTAAAGCATGTGCAACTGTGGCTGCAATAAGTTGCAGCGGCTGGGGTTGTTTTCTTGATTCTGCACACCTTGGAGCTCTATCTTATGCATAGATTGGGACCTTTGGTGGAGCCCAGATGCCCTGTCTTGCAGCAGCAACACAGTGCTCTGGCATGCATGCATTCTGCATGTGTGCGCCTCCATCTGCAGGATGATTTTGGGGCCTTGGGATGTGTTAGTGTAGATTGAGCTGTTTACAACATCGTGGGCGGCTCAAGAGAATGCCAATTATTTCCTGGAAGAGTATTTTTCACGCGGATATCGATACAAAGTGGGCACTTCTTTCTGTCAGTTGTTCACCAATTCGCATTGGCTCCCAACCGCTTCAAGGTTTGCAATTGTGGCTAGATGGGTCATCTTGTCCTGCGCCTTGGTGGACGCCGACTCTCAATTGGCTGTTTCAGGCATTCGTGCTACTGGTGTTTCCCAGAACTAGGGATCGTGGTGTGCTCATCTCACCTTGATCGGTCATGCCTTCCAGTTGTAATCACATGCGTATTGCCTGTATTATGTGATTATCGGGCTGAGGGCCTGTATCAGGTATACCTGCCAGTAATAGGTACGTACCTAATACTGATAGAAGGACTTTGCAGTGCCCATGTACGGCTTACGTACCTGCGACAAACGAGGCCTGCATTGGAGTGTGCAGTCAAATTGCGGCGGTTGGGCTCCAGCTGTCCGAGTCAGTGCATATGCATGTGTAGGGAACACCGTTGATTTGCATACCTGACTGACACACATATGCATGTGACTGCTGACTTCATGATGAAGACGCCCGATGAAAATGACAGAATCGTGCAAAGATTGAGTCTTTGTGGGCACCGAAAACGAAACAGGTTGGAATGGAAGAAAGGTAGCATCTTTGGGACGAGGAGACCAGTCGAACGGCCAATGGATAGGCACCTCGTCGTTCTGCTAACTGTCACCATCATCTGCGCGGTACTTGCGCAGGAAGCCACTGCAGAGCGTCGCCAAGTCTTTATAGCAGCAGACAAGGTGACATCTCCATCATCTGGACGAGTCAAAATGGTGCTGCAGAGACTAAAGTTTGGCGCGCTTGCTCGCTGACCTTGACGGTTGATCGCATCGGTCTTCCAGGTCTGGTGGAGCTACGTGCCGTCTGGTGCAAATTTGTGCAGTGATGCACCTCCAAACAAGACTGATCATAGTCCATTGTACACCACCGAGGGAATCGGTCCCTCATACTTGAAGGCCCAGTACACCGAGTACACGGACGCAACTTTCGCGGTGCGCTTTGTAGTAGACTGCCAAGCTGTGTGCCATACACATGCAGTTTGAAATTCTGAAGCAATGCATTGACTTACAAAATCATTTTTGTGCTCAAATCTGTCGTGGATAGTACGGAAAGTCTTGCCAGCTCGGAAGTTCACTCCCTAATAGCCCATCACACTCGACGCAGGTGAAGAAACAAAGAAGTGACGAGGAGGCACACCTCGGACTTCTGGGTGAGTCCCATCGCAATTTCCTTGTTTGAAAGATTGTTTGCACATTACGTACCAGGACTACGTGCAAGAGTTCGTTGGCGCCAGAATAGCTTGCCATCAGCATTGCTGCTGGCAGCATTCCCGCTGATGTTGTTGGAGTCAATCTGAAGTGCTGCAGGATCTATACTGAGTTGGGGTTTCTGTGCAGGGCCCAGATTATTCGCAGTGCCTGGGGATGTGCTGGAAATAGTATTTAGAAACAACCTGAACACCTCCACAAACATTGTGCCCTCTGGAGTAATCACAAATACAACTGCGGCTGCAGAGCCTGGACAGACAGCCTTCTACGAATGGAAAATCGGGCAGGAGGTGCGCACATGGCCCCACCGGCAGGCATGCATGAGATCTAGCGCAGGGATCTTTCTTGGTAACTGCAATTGGACACATGACAAGCCTCTCTGGACAGTCATTGCCACTTCCTGCACGGAACGAAATGGTACGATCATCTTGTGGCACCTGCACCACAAGCATGCCAGGAGTAGGGAGCAGAGGGCACCAAGTCGCAAGGCGTATGGAGATAAATTGAGTTAAAGCCAGGGACAGATTGGGAAAGCTTTTGGCAGTCAATGCAGCAGGAGGAACGGAGCAGGGGCTGAGTCGTGTGTGGCTGCTCCGCTGATGTCAGGCGGCGCCAGGCGGGCAGGAGGTGACGTCATCGAAGCTCTGGCTGTACCGCAGCACAGTGGATATGGTGGGGGACGCAAATTCTGGCCTTTTGGGCCCGATCATTGTGACGCGGGCAGACGCCGCCCTGCCCAATGGGCAGCCCCGGGATGTCGCCCAGACCTTCATCGCCATCTTCCAGGTGACTTTTAAACCTTAATGCCCCATTCCAGAGCGTCCAACCTTCAATGTGTGTCAATTCGCTTGGTCACCAGCAGAATCACGAGACAGCTCCAGAAAAGTTCTTCTCACTCGTCCAATGATTTGATTCAGCTCCTGATTCAGGGATTCTTTTGCGTCAAAATTTTCAGCTTTCTGTAGAGAAATCATTGAAAGGGGCTAAAGTTTTCAAGGGCATTATCTCCTGTACCATGTGGGTACTGTATAATATGGTCCTTCACACAGCTGAGGCGAATGGAGCTGCAGGCGGACACAGGCCAGGCTGACATGCACACTGACATGTGCAGGTGCTGAATGAGAATGACAGCCCCTTGTTGAACGAGACGCTAACAGCGCTAACGCTGGATGAGACGGTTGGCATGAGCACGGACGACTTTGAGGAGTCCAACAAGAAGCACTCCATCAATGGGCTGCTCTTTTGCAACACGCGCGGCTTCAACATCACCCTGGGCTCCAAGTGTGGCCCCTTGATTGTTCCCACAACAAGCTGACTCTGAGCCCAATTGTTGCATCTGTAATCCACTGGATCCTAAAGTGCCGATTTGACGGATGTTGTCTTTGCTGTTTGGTTCTTCTTGCAGGGTGCATTTCTCATGGCATGCAAGTTGCATCTGTAGGTTGCACAGCCAGTCTAGCATTTCAATCATCAGACATGAGTGAGCTGCTGTTTTTTGGTGTGGAATTCCCAAGTGCTTTATCAGTGACAAGGTACCCACCGATGGGCACGCATTATTTCTCTGAGCCAAGCTGATGAACATCATACCCGAGGAAAGGGCTGGAGATGGCTTAAGGACGACTGTTTGATCCAATGGGTGTTGAGGGGTGGATGGTGTGTTGTGCAGGGTGAGGTGGCACGTGGCGGCAGTGGGCAACGAGGTGGACCTGCACAACACCCACTGGCACGGGAACACACTCCTATGGGAAAATCACAATGCAGACCAGTGCGACCTTGTGCCCTGCCCCAGCCACCTCATTCGATCACTGCTTTCATGCCTGACCCACGTATCCACCACGCAGGTCCTTCCATAATGTGCTGCTTTGCGTCGCGTCCCTTGCTAACAGGAAAAGCAGAGGTGCAGGCTTGGCAGGGTCACCTCCTTGTGTCCCTTGCTATGGAGCTGACATGATGCATGCTGCGTACCAAGGTGTATACTGTGCTCCGCAGGCTGAGTCTGCTGTCTGGGAGTGTGAGGACGGGAGACATGGTGGCTGACAACCCCGGCCAGTGGTTTCTGCACTGCCACGTGAGCCCCTGCCCTTCTTAACCATTGCATTCAGACTTAAAACACTCCCCAACCAGCACAGCAAGTGATGATGACAAGTCGAATGAGGACTCATCATCCCAGGGGAAGGGGGTAGTAAACTCTTAGTCCACACCTCCTCATCAAGAGATCCCCTTATACCTCCTGATGAGGGGAGTAATGTCTGGGGGAGTTAAGTGGAAAAAAAGACTTATAAGGTGGCTGCGTAGGTGAACGATCACATCACCGCGGGCATGAAGACCGTCTACGAAGTGACCGAGGGCCCCGGCAGTGCGGCCGCGCTGGCTAGGATCAACAGCTCGCCGCTGAAGGGCGTCACGCGTGACTACTACGTAGCTGCCGAGAAGGTGCTGTGGGACTACGCGCCGCTGGGAGGAGACGCATGCAGCGGCAGCCTGCAGCCGTTTACGGAGGCCGGCGCAATACGGGCCGAGAACAACATTACGGCGGGGCAGGCCGGCAGCCGGCGCTACCGGGCGATGTATGTGGAATACACCGACGCCAGTTTCACTGTGAAGAAGGTGGGTTGTCTTCGTTTCTTGTGTGCGTGCTTCTGTGCTGACATGGCCTCAAGACAAGCAAGAGGAAAATTTAGTGTTGGTGGCAACTGTGCCTTGTGGCATGTGCATGCAATATACCCATGGTTGACTGCAAGCATGGGCATGCAGCACGCACGCTGCATGCACATGCCTGGTGATATGCCGATGCTTGTGGTCAAGCGTCCTGTGAATTTTATAGCGCTCATTTGGTCTTTTATGTGAATACTGTCTTGATACCGTCATTGGCGCCTCGGTACCCAGAAGTGCTGCATGCTCTCCAGATTGTGAACGCGCTCTGCAGCGGCACTGCACCCTCAGAATTGTGCACCTACCCAATGTATGAATCTCTCATTCCGCAGCAGCAACTTTTTAACAAGTTTGTGCATTTCTTCATGAGCAGAACCGCACGGCGGATGAGGCGTACCTGGGCAATCTGGGCCCGGTGCTGCGCGCGTCGGTGGGGGACACGATGCTGGTGCACTTTCTCAACCGGCTGCCGGGTCCAGTCAGCGTGCACCCGCACGGCGTCTTCTACAACAAGAGCTCCGAAGGCGCCCTCTACAGTGACGGGACCACCGGTGCTTATCTCTCTTATCCTCAAATGGCTTCAATAAGTCACTGAGGCAGAGAGTAACAGCAAGTATCATTGCAAGCACTGTTACTGCTGAGCAGTGCAGCAATGCCATTGTGACGCATCTTTATGTGCGCACCATATGTCAAAATTGTTTCAGGCTTGAAAGGATGGTCTCACTTGCTGCATGCATGGCAGACATATAACAAATGAGACTTGCCTTCGGCAGGCCTGAACCAATCGACGAGTTGAATGCATGCAAACATGGGTGGCAAGTATGCTTATGGGGAGTGCCATTCATGAGCACTGCTGACCTGGCATGCTGCATGCTGCCGGCAGGTGCCGACAAGGCGGATGACTCAGTGGAGCCCAACGGCACACACCTGTACACGTGGGAGGTGCGCGAGCGCTCGGGCCCCGGCCCGGCCGACCCCAGTAGCGTCGTCTGGATGTACCACAGCCACCACTGGGAAGTCGCCGACACCGTAAGCGGCCTCTACGGCGCCATGATCATATCCCGCAAGGTGAGATCAGCAGCTGTACTTTGGATCGTGTCAACGGGATAGATTTGGGGTCAGTTGACATGCTGGACACATAATCATCTCGCGCAAGGTTAGATCATGCATGCTTTATCGCCGCAGCGCGCAGGCTTCTGCTCAGATCAGCACCTGATATTTGCAATTGTGTCAACGCAATAGCTGTGAGGCACGTTGACATGCTGAACACCTGATCATCTCCTGCAAGGTGACATCAGCAGCTGTGTGTGGCAGTCTGTGTCAACATAGTAGCTTTGAGACAAGTGGACATGCCAACACATGATGAATTTCAGCGCGGTGAGATCACATGTGCTTATAACTCTGTAGCCGGCGGGCCTCTGCTGAAGTCAGCTGGATGTTGTGGTATCATAGCAGCCTGATGAGTACTAGAAAGATCTGGTGCCAGTCATGCTTGCACCTGGTTCCTCAACATCCGGTTGATAGTTTGAGTGAGCCACACAGCCCAGGTGCTGCAGTGCAAAGCAACCAGCAGAAACACCCCAAGCATATCCAGGATCCACAGACATTGGGAGTCGTTCGTGTCAATTTGGGTTTGTAAGGAGGCGCTGAGATGCGTGCAATCACAGAGCAGCCTTTGCTGTATGCAGGTCATGTCACCTTCACCCAGAAAATTGCTCCCCTTCTGCTTAAAGATCATCAAACCTTTGGAGCACGCTCATGTCATGTTTTGTCATCCTGCAGGAACTGGCGCGGCCGGACGGCTCGCCAAGGGACGTGGACCGAGAATTTGCGCTTATGTTTGCAGTCGCACACGAGCGGAAGACTTTCTTCTCAGCCGAGAACGTTGCAAAGTTCCTGCCCGGGACAACGCTGGCCAACTCGACAGACCAAGACGACCTCGAGACCATGCTGATGGACTCGGATGACTCAGAGAATGAGTCAGACCTTTTCTATGCCATAAACGGTGCGCGCTCTTTATCTGACTTCAAGATAAGGTCTGCGCCAGATGCCCGACAGCATGTGTACATACGTTGCATGAAAATAGAAAAAGGTTGATAGTGTAGAAAAATGAGCAAGTTCTTCTGGTTTGGTGCAGGCATGATGTTCTGCAACCTGCCCAAGATGATGGCCAAACAGGGGGAGCGAGTGCGTTTCCACATATTCACCCTTGGCACCGAAGACGACCTGCACTCGCCCTCTCTGCTTGCATCCAGCTTCCTGGCAGACGTAAGGCCCCTCCAAAGAAGCAGCTTCTCTTGCTCTGTCTGATCTTTCTGCTGTCATTCACCATTGCCCAAGATACCATTGACAGACAGTGATCTCCCACTTACACACACTCAATCTTGCGGCAAGATTTAATCTTGCTTCAGCTATGCAGCAGCCACGATCCAAGGCAACACACCAGACAAGTTGCCCAGCGACCCACCGTTTAACATGCCAGCATGCATGTGCCGGTAATGTATTGCATGGGAAAACAGGGGGGTGGTGGTGCACCTGTGCAGGGGGAGAGGAAGGAGTCGCTGCAGCTGATTCCTGGGGCCATGCACAGCCAGGACGTGATTCTGGACAGCGCAGGAGACTACCTGATGCAGTGCCGTACCACCAACCACTTTGACAAGGGCATGTCCGCCCTCCTGGCAGTCGCACCCTCAGGTGCACGCCACTGCTCTGCATCATCGCTTCTTGTAATATTAAATCAGTGTTCTGTCTTTTCATATGCTGCCTAGCGGCTGGCACTATGACGATGAGCAAAGAGTGACTTCGGAGCTTCTTTCCTGTGGCCTCTAATCCATGCATAATTAAATTTCGCAATCCAAGGCCACAGGTCTAGAATTTTCAATGCCGTGTCAGCTTGTTGTAACGCTGTCAGCTGCCGGGTTCTAAATGCTGCAAGGTGCCACCTGGCGCAGGTCGCAATGGGCTGTTTGCAAATGCCTGAGCACCTGAGGACTTTTCATTTCGCTTGCCCAGACTCTCTCTTGCTATCACGTCACTGTGAAGATACCTGGGGAAGATTCAGTTGTCTGATTGTTGTGGGTGTGATTGCTGCAGCGGCGTATGATGCCATGGCGGGGATCAAGGGCGCCAACCACATGCACTTCATCCGCGCAGAGCCGGTGGCCTGGGACTTTGCACCCGGCGGCCTCGTGGACCAGTGCACAGGGGAGCCGCTCGATGCAGACACCTCTGTGCGTCCTATTCCCCCTGTGCCTCACTCCTAGCGCCTTAGAATGTTCATGGCAAACCACCCATTACCGGGTCCCTGGTGATAGCATGTGCTGCCAACTGATATATTGACGCTCCCAAAGAGTCTCACGCCTGAAGAGTGGCTGGGCAATGGAAATCAATGCAGCCCAAGCGCCACTTAGAACTGAAATTTGCATTGAAATTTGTCGCCTCATCACTCTGGGCACTCAATGCGAAGCCCGCATTGCTTACAATGTCAGCATACAATTCTCCACAAGAACATGACCAATCATCGGCCTTGAACGGATGTTGTCTGGCACCTCTGACGTTGTGAGTCTGCTTGCGCAGATCTACGCGGATCCGGCCGGCCCGGGCCTGGCTGGCAACATCACAAAGGCGCTGTACCGCTCGTACAGGGACGCCAGCTTTGCTCAGGCGCTGCCGCAGCCGGCGCAGCACGGCATCCTGGGGCCAATCCTGCACGCGCACGTCGGCGACAACATTACCATCGTCTTCCAGGTCTGTCCCTCTTGCTTTGCACTTGACAGACTCTGGACGCTGATGCCGCTGACAAAACGGAGATCTGTGCATTGCTCACTCAGAATTGGTGCCCACCCCAGCGGGAAAGAGTTAGAGCAAAGTCATTGCCGGTGCAACATCAAATTGGCGGGAAAGACCAAGGGAAAAAGTGAAGGACTTTAGTCGAACAAGGAAGCGTTAGCACGTGCGTGCTGTATAAATAAAAAAACACAAGGCATGTCTGGCAATTTTGGCGACGGCCGAATCATATGTTTGCTGAGTGTTTGTGCATGGTGATGCGCGCAGAACGCGCTGCCGTTCGCGGTCAATTTGCAGCCGGGTGGCGGCCTGCTGCAGCTGCTGCCGGCGGGGGGCGCCGTCGGTGCGGCGGGGGGTCCGGTGCCCCCCGGCGCCACCGTGACCTACGTATGGGGAGTCCCCTCCGCCGCTGGCCCCGGCCCAGCCGACTTCTCCACCGTCGCCTACACGTACCACAGCGGCGTCGATCCGACCGCGCACGAAAACGCGGGGCTGCTCGGCGCTGTGGTCATTGCGAGAAGGGTGCGTGCATGCTCTTGTAATACATAAATTATACATAAATGAAACATTTATCATCCACTGTGAATATCACTTAAGTCGTGCTTAGATCTACATGCAAAGCGGGCGCGGTGTCGATATCATTGAGACGGTCACTTAATCTGCAAAGTGCCGGATCTAGTAACTGAAAACACTGTGCTGTGCTTAAAGACGATTGAAAGCTGCAGGACGCATCGCATGCATTGCTCGTTGAGAAAGGCATCTTGGGATAATCGGACAATACATGGTAGCTGACTGGTGTGGTGTATTTACTGCGCAGGATGGCGATGAGGGTGAGTATGTGGAGTTCCCTCTGCTGTTTAACATCCAGAACGAGGGCCTGAGCGCGATGCTGCAGGTCAACCTAGACGCTGCCGCCGCCGCCGGTCGCAGCCTCAACACCTCCGACCCCGACTTTGAGGTGTGTGCCACTCTTACTACCGCATAACTTCCTGCTTATGTCCAAGTAAGTGCAGGACCAGTCTCTGCCATGTTCTGTTTCTACTGGTCCAAACGTAAACCCTGTCGCAAAATCCGTGATATGCAATTTTACTGGGCAGCCCATGCGCGAGATTGCCCATGCAGCAGGGCCAAAAGCAGGGCCACAATATGTAGCCTTGAGCCTTGCCTGCATTCTGTGTAATGTCTATTGGTGCTACAGCAAATGATCCAATTGGCTCGCCTGTGTGTGCATCGCAGGAGGCGAACAAGAAGCACTCGGTGAACGGGTTCCTCTTCTGCAACATGCCGGACATCATCGTGCCCGAAGGCGCCAAGCTGCGCTTGATCCTGATCGGCGCTGGCGACGACACCGACATGCACACCCCCGGATTCACCAACCTCATTCAGAACACACCCTCCGGCGCCAGCTATGTGGTGGAACTCTACCCTGGGCAAGCCCGCGTGGTGGGCATGTACGCCGGTGCGCAGCGTTCCCTCTCCCTCTCTCTCCTAGCCAGACATCTTGCATGCCAGGGGTCAAAGGGACACTGCTTCCTCCTATATCCTTCTACCTGCCTGGACACAAGCCCGTGTGCGTTGTACAGTAGCACAGATGCATGTAGTCACTCAAATTGCCCAGGGTGGAGAGAAACGCCCCTGACAGCCTTGGCATAAATAGTGAGATGCTTTCTGCAAACAAGAGGCTTTCCGTGAGGCTTTCTTGTGATGCAACTGGATGTGGAGCTCCTTTGAGAGCCTCTTTATGTCAGATGCATGCCCAGCGGCACATGTTCAGGAGTGGGGCCTTCAATCACACCAGAAAGATGGTAGCTATATCAGCGAGGGCTTAATTTCATAATGTTGTACATGCTTTCTCCAAACGTGCCAAGGCTGATGGTGGTATTCGTGTTGCGGCCAGATGTGCCAGGCCGGTGGGAGTTCCGCTGCAACGTTCAGGACCACTTCAGTGCCGGCATGAAGGGGGCTCTCACCATCACATCAACCCTCGGTGACACAAGCACAGGGGGGTTCCCTTCCTATCGTCGCCATCTCCTGTGACAAGCAGCCTAAATATGCTTCATGCTGAATAAAGTAATAAAGCAATAAGTCCAAGAACAAGGTGATCTTCACTGGGAACAGGTGCCTTCTGCAGCCTCAGGGCTGGTTGAAAGCACCCCACTGCCAAAAGGCGAGTGCAGCACGACTATCTGAGGCAAACCTCAAGACAAAGAAGAGCAAATTTGCTCTTCTAAGCTCTTAAAGCTCAGGAAAGCATGGACTGCAAAGGCAGCAAAGCATGAGTCCTATTCCAACATGAGCAGGTCGGACAGAGGAGGCAGTAATCAGGGCATCTTGTCCAAGGGAGTCAAAAGGCATGAGCCAGCCATTGTTTGCTCAGTCTTTGATATGAGAGGCTGTGTGACAGGACCAACGTTCTTCAACAGCAGATGTACTGGTTTTTTAAATTTATCGCAGACACGTCTGCTCCACATTTGTTTATGACAGCTTCCCAGGCAAACCTGAATTCTGGCATGAGTCCTGATCGTCTACGTTCAGTTTCCTGGGTATCCTGCAACTTCTGACAAGTCGTCTTTGAGGAAGTTCTGGTCCTTTCTGTGAGATGCCATTGTCTCCTGATATCTCCTCAAATGGTGGTTTCTGGTCTGTTTCTACTCCTGTGCAGAGGTCATGTCTCATGTCAAGAAGTGTCTCCGAGGGTTGCTTTGATCAACAAGTGGTATTTCCAAGAATTGTTCAGGTGACAATAGGTCTTGCTTGCCATGGAGATCTGCTCCGTAGATAGCTATTCTTGTTCTGTTAGGTCCATTCCTGTACAGCGGCGAGCGTAGCATGCACACAATTGTCGAGACTTCTCTATTGCTGCGGAGCTGCATACTTCCCATGCAGCTTTTGTTTTGGCCCAGTACTTAACCCATCATTCATAAGGAATACCAAGTACCATTGCACTCTCACATTTGAGAGTTCGGTTGCTTCGGCGTCTTGGTGTGTAATTCTGAGCCCGGTCATATGGTGTACCGACGTAGATGCTATACGGTAGCTGTTCTGTGCATGCATTCATGCTATTTGAGATGTGAGTTGAGCAACTAGCTAGATTGTTGCATGAGGTCATGTCGAGGGTGCGTAGGTCTATATGCAGCCATATGCATGTTCTTTGGTGATGGGTAACGTGGTGGTTGTTGTCTAATTTCGCACTTGCCAATCTGGTTTCTTCTTCGTCATATGATCATGCATGCTGCTTGATTACTGTGGCTTCTCGCCTTGCATCACGGACCAGTACATGGAACACAGTACCCACGCCTGAAATATAATCACGTCTAGTGTCACATGATCCTGAGCACACACTCAAAGACTGAACAGCAATCCTTTCCAACTGACGCTCACCATTATAAATTTAATGCCTCAATGGCACGATCCCACCTTAAACCAAAAAGACGTTTTAGCATATAACAAATCCCTTTTCTGCTTCCACTTCAGACTGGATATCTCCAATGCTGTGCCACCTGTCCTGTGCTCAAGCCGAGGCAATTCAGGCGAAGCGTGCGGTCATGGGCGCCTGGCGCAGGGACATGCCGGCCCTCACAGGGGTCACACGGCTGCTGGACATGGCCATCGCACCGGCTGCAGCCCTGGTCTTCATCTGTCACCCACAGACACGCACACCCTCAGCACTCTATTAACTGGAGTACTCAGCATCAGGTATCACCAGCTTGCCTGCTGTTAAGAGCAGGTCCGAGAATGGGCCGGGATGGAGGTGGCTTAGACAAGCATTGCTGCCAGCACTTGACTGGAGGCTTGCTTCCACGCAATCTCTTGTTGAGTTTGCTCCATGAAAGCCTCACACAACACAGCTGATGGCAATGCGTGCTTACAGGCAACACCCCGGCCAAAGAAATGGGTTCTGATTATTTTTTGTAAAGGACACAATCATGGCAGACACACTTCCACATCTCACCCTGACATCACCCTGAAGGGCTGCACAGGTCTAACTGCATAGCGCCACATCAAGGAGCCTGCACATCACCCACAAGAACAGCAGCGAATACCTGGGCAGCGGCTGCGCGGACGAAGACGGGGCGGCCGGAGCGGCCGCGGCCGGTGCAGGGGGCGGCGAGGCATGCGTTGGCGCCGCCTGACGGGTAGCCCTTCTCGCCAAAGGTGCCGCCGGTGGTCGATCCGCCATAGCCCGGCTCTCCCGGGTTTTTCTTGTCCTTCTGCGCACAAGCGAAGAACCGCATGTTAGCCTGGCTGTAAAATGCTGTCTTGTCATGCACTTGCACACCTTTAAAGGAGACAGCAGCCTATATGAAGGGCTTTAGCAAATCTGCAGTCGTCTACAAGATGGTGGCAGAGGTGTCTGCCAAATAACACAATGCAGACACAGAGCGCTTCCCAAGAACCCTCCAACAAGGCCAAGAGCGCTGTCATGAGAGCGTCACACGCTGCGAATCAAAGCATGCAAAGCTGGCAGACAAGGGCAGCTCACCGAGTGGTAGAGGTCATCCTCGATCGGGCGCTCCTGCAGTGCACACCAGGAGGGTCAGCCAAGTTGCTGAATCGCAGATTGACTGTAGACATGTTCGCTTCAGCACAAATTCTTGCTAGCAAGGTTCATGCTCTGCACGTGCACGTGCCAAAATTGCAGAGCATGCAGGGTAGGAGGATAGGAGACAGTACCGAGTTGTGCTTCAGGTGGAAGAAGTTGAGAGCGTTAGCGAAGGTGAGGAAGGCCACGTAGGGCCACAGCAGGTAGCCGGCCACGGGCTTCACCCTGTAGAACTGCTTTGCCAGCACCACAGCAGTTCCCAAGGTGGCTGCACAATCACAGGACATGTCACGAAGAGTTGTTATCATCAATATTACACGTTCCTACCAAAGGCTCGGTGCGTCTACAGACAAGCTGCAGGCAAGATGAGTGCACTCGTTGGAGGACAGAAGAATGCGTGCAGAGGTTCAAAGGGTGCTCACCAACGTTGTCAAGCTGGGCCAGGCCAAAGTCCTTCTTGTTGAAGAAGAGCTGCGCATGCACAAGTTTGAATTTAGCAAAGTCACGTTTGATCTTGCGCAGTTGGCAGACTTACAAACACGCACAAGTTGTAGCAGATGACAAGATTTCCTGGAACAGCCTGCATGTAGAGCTCCAATAAGGCATGGGGCTGTCAGGAGAAAGCGTGAGTGTACCGGCATCCAGGAAAGGTTGAGGACGAGGTTGATGGCATACAGGGCGAGGGGGCCTGTCTGCTCAGCAAAGCCGCCCTGTGTCCACACCACGAAGGATGCCAGGCCAAGGAATACGTAGAGGAAAGACCTGTATCCAGCATGTGCAACGTTGTAAGACCAAAAAAAGGTTCCATCCGTGCGTTCTTCACGAAAAGGGGGTTGGCTGTATTCTGGGAGACTGAGGTGTCCTACCATGTAGGCCCAAAGATGGGGGTGGGCAGATTCCACGAAGGCTTAGGCAGAGTCTTGTACCTACGTTGAGCAAACACAACACATGAGCGACAGAAAATCTGACTGCTTCATTGAGTTAATGTTGCGTCTGCAGGCAAGGATCGGTCCAGGGACAGGTGTAGGAGGCATGGTGGTTGGCAACACTAGCACTCAGACACTGATGACAAGTGGAATGTGCCTACCACACGAGAACGTTGTCTGCAGTGCTTGCAGAGACAATGCTTCCAGCAATCAGCGGAATAGCCAAAGAGATCGCCTGCAGGAAAGCGGGGGTGATTCTGAGAAGCTGAGTTCCGCGAAACCTCGGGGTTGCGCCCGCAATATTCCTCTGCTATCGATTCTAACACTCAACCAAAGCAGTATTCACAGGTTCGTAGCAGACAAAATAATGTATGCTGTCCCTCGCCATGGTCAACAAGAGTGCAATGCCCGGCTGAGTCAGCGGAGCCACTGCGGATGCGTCTAGCTCTCAATCTAGACGCAGACTACTCCTATCACTATTTCATGTATTTTGGCACCCACAGGAACTCTTTCAGGTCCGAGAAACGAGGTTCCCCCTCAGAGCGTTTGGTGGTGATAATACAGGTGGAGGGAATCGGGCGCACCAGCGGCACGGAGAAGTAGCTGCCCATCTTGAGAACGTTCTGCTTAGATTTCAATTCCTTCTCAATGCGAAAGACTATTGAAAGCGTTTGGCTTGTTGCGAGTCTAGAAGAGTACGGTTGAGCACATTCCGGGAGGATCCCTGCCGAGCCCTATCCGTTATCCCCTGGCTCCATTTAGGTCAGTGGATATTTTATATTGCAACAGCACAAGAGCGCTGCAGACTATCAAACAATCAAGCAATGCATATCGCATGCTGGTCCAAGGGAATAAAAGATAAAGCAAGCTTCCATCTACAGTGCATGAGAGCTCCAAAAATTCCCCAGATTGCAGGGTTAACCTAGGTACTTGGTTAACATAGCTCAGATGTAGAGAAGGCCTAACCCACTGGTAAAAAACCAGAGATCCGGAACATCTCTACTAGACTGAGTAAGTCTCTGCCGCAGCAGCATGGTCAGGGCAGTTACAACTTCTGCAATGGTTGATTTGTCATAATTTAGAGACTTCGCTGCATGCTACTGGCGTGTTACCCCCGCGCCAAAAGTTGCCAGCTGGTGTACATTTGTTATGGCAAGGTCAACTCTACCAAAACTGCCAAAGAAGGGGAAGACAAGACACCAGAACTATGCAGCGCTCATTCGCTCTGATGCCAAAAGCTAGCCAGCAGCCAATCTCAAACTCTTATCAGTAAAGCAACCCAACAGGAGCATGCTAAAGGGCCCAGAGGGAAAAGAGCACACTCTATCAAATCCTTGGTTGAGAATCACAAGTCTTGAAGCACAGCTTGTCACAGCATCCCTCAGTCTCGCGGCACCACCCTCTTCACGTTGCATCCCCGCTTTGTATCGCTCTCCTTCTAATTTCACTCATCCGTTCAGAGTCTGCGCCAGTCATGTCCGGCCTGCAGGATTGGTCTTGTCTGAACCACTTCTTCTGCTGGAAGCGTTCTCGGGACTGGCATCTGTCAGTGGCGGCGCCCTGCAATAATTGCAACATGTTTTATGCCCAATGTCTCTCAATGCACCAAAGAACCTCTGAGCTCCCAAATAGCCACCCGCTAGCACACGGCTAAATTGGTGTGCTTTGCATCAAGACGCCAGCCATGTGCATGCATGCAGGTACATGAACTTCTGCAAAGGCTGTTTGCACAACAGAGACCTGCCGTACCCTACCCACCTTCCAACAACTGCTATTGTAGAGAAGGCTCGAGACATGTACAAGCTTGGGCTCCGAGGAGATTCAAGTGGCTAGGCCAAAGAGCACCTGTAGGTATTCAGGACAGCCCCCTCCACGTCATCGTCGCTCTCATCTGCTTCCTTGGAGCCCCCATTAAGCATGGCCAGCAGCCGCTTGGGTCGGTCCAGCGCTCGGTCAGTCTGCCTCTTGGTGTGGTTCCACACCGTCTTGCCCGCCTGGCTGATCTGCCGGTTCGTCTGCAGCACCTGCATCATGTGTTCAGCACAGACATGCTCAGCAACTTTTGTCACAGTGTGGCTCAGAAGCCTCCATCCTGGCTCTCAAATATCCCGGCAAAGACAGCAAAACATGTCTGCAGTGCATTTGGGAGCAGTGCACTTCGCCACATACACATCAGGAATCTGGTGCATCCCAAAAGAACGAGCTGCTCCCGGACTCAGAGCAGCCGTAGAAGAGAGTAAGTGACTTGCGTAAAGACGAGGCATGCACTGCTGCCACAGCCCCATCAAAGCTACTCGAACTTCCCAAAGCAGGAAGGGGCCATTCTCCATTAGCGTTGCCCAGAGGCCACCACTGGAGAGTAAGCTGAGGCATGCACCGGTGTCATGTCAGGGTACAGTTCAAAAGGCTGAAAGTCTCGGCACAAAGAAAATACAGTCCTCACTAGGCACAACAGGTGGCACACTAATGGTTAGTAAGCTGAGTCACCCACCGTGTCATCCACCACCCCCTGCACGTCGTCCACCACATCGGTCACGTCAAACATGGCGCGCAAGTTTCGCGCGAATCCCTGGGGCGCTCCGGCAGCCGGATCCATGTAGTCACGCGGAGGGAACGCGTGCGCATGCGCCAGCGCCGCAAAGAACATCTCCACGCAGATCAGAAACTCCTGCAGCCCCGACGCCACGTCGTCCACATCATATGTCGTCCAATCCTGCGTATCAAAGTTCAGTCAGCCATCGCTGCTATCTTCCATGAGGGTGAAGAAGAGATCAGAGCAGCAGTCTCCCTTCCAGAAACTGTGATTCTCAGATACATAAAACATGAGAATGACGCTTGCAGAGCTCTCTGGTGCAGCTGCTATTTTCTAGCACAGCCACCTGCAGGGACCTGTTAAATGCGCAGACATGTACGCAAGGAGTGTGCGCGCACACCGGTGCACATAATATCCATGCGTGGACCTCACTCCACAAAACCCCAGCCTTCCCGCGGGAACGTGTGAACACAGCATTAAACCTTCTGCGCGCACCCCAGTTTGGAGGATGCCGGTCCAGACAAGGATGGCGATGGCGACGCCCTGCCAGTAGGTGAGGAAGACGACGGCCTTGACTGTGAGGAACTTAGACACCGGGCGGATGGGCGCCAGCTCGTACTTCGTGCCCCGGTAGAATAGCACCAGGCAGTACAGCGCCCAGAACTGCACGCATGCAACTGGGTTCAGGTCTATATGAGGTCTATGAGAGTTACATGTATCTACCAATGCAGAAATGCCATACGTAACATCCTGGCAAGTCCAAAAGTTTTTCCATGCAAGCCTGAGAGGTCAATTCACATTGCGCACAAGCCCCAAATATAGTCTGGACAAGATTGCATAGCTTGCAAAGCAGGAGAACCAAACCTTCAGGTCTGCATGGATCAAGGGCAAAAATGCGGGAACATCCACTTGATCAGCGAGCAAGTTAACATGTGCAGCGGAGTGATGCCATTGCCACAAACATAGTGAACAGCATCACCTGCGATACATTAGAGATGATGGTGGTGTAAAGATACACGCAGTCAAAGCGCAGTTTGCCATCGCCATACACTCCAAGCAGCTGCGCCACGACTCCCACCGCTGTCATCAGCGGCCGCAGGATGACGTAACCCAACACCCCCTGCACCCACATGCGCGTGGTTGCCATCGTGTCTTAACCTCTACAAACTGCAGCAATTTGTGCACAAATCGTTCCAAGCTGCCACTTTCCTCAGTGCATCAAGAGCAGCATCCAAGAGGGGCAAGCTTGAACGCCCTGTGCACAGAAATGGCAATGCCTCTAACGGCCACGCTGGCCTTACATACCACGAGATCTTTCACCTTGTGCAACTGCCCACAAGCTTGGCAGACAGAGGCAGCAGCACAAGGCCGGACTGAGTTCTGGAGCGAGGTAGCCAATCTGTTGATCAGCCACACAACACCGCCGTGGAAAGAGCTGTCTGTACCTTCTTGCACTGCCACAAAAAGTCGTCCCCCATCTGCCAGGGCTTGTACAGGTACTGGATGCCCCACATGTGCGGAATCTCCTCCTTGGTGGAGAGGTACACGCTGATGTCACCATACTCCTCCTCCAGATAGGCCAGCAGGTACATGAAGAAGCTGTAGATCACAAAAGCCTCGTAGCACTCCCGGAAGGTGTCCAGGTAGATTTGCGTGGACTGCATGCAACCCACACAGCTATGTCAGTGTTTGGGAGCATTTGGATTCAGGTCAAGAAAGTCCGCGTATGACTGTCAGCTACTGCAGATGAGTCCAGTGCGTGCCCAAGGAATTTGCTGAGCTCAAGAGACTGATACCATATGGAAGAAGTTGACCCTGTGTTTTGTTGAAGAAACTCGGCCTGTTAGCCGTCTTGCAGATACTGTGCCAGTCCAATGTGCAAGAATTGTGGATTTCAGTATCAGTAAATCCATGCCAGCAGCTTTCTTAGTAGATGCGGCAGGACACATCTGAAGGACTGTTGAGGGACTGGACGGTGGGAGCTAGCAAGGGATGCTCACCTCAAAGCGCAGAGCGAACCAGGAGTCAAGACCGTACACAGGGACCATCCACAGGATGCGGATGACATAGATCTGCATCCTGGGCCGCGAGAAGTATTCCAGCTGCATGGCCACCTCGTAGATGCTCACTGGCAGCGCTAGCAGCACGAAGATACCCGCTATGAACCATGCCTGCGCAGATCAGGCACGCTCCGGTAAGTATACCTCTGTCACTCATGCGTGAAGGGAAAGAGTACATTAACCACTGGATCGCAGAGTGATTAACGGTCTCATTGCAAGGGGAGTTTCATGTGCTGTTCACGAGCTAGGTGCACTATTAGTAACACTGGTTGAGAAGCAGAATCAGGGCAGGCAGCCTCGGGTGATCACACCTGGTAGTGTATGGAGTAGTCTGCTTGCTTGAACTCGATGATAAGCCATGGCAGGAACCCCAGGCAAGCAGCGGCAAGCAGGCACCAGAGCAATCGAAACCAGCGACGCAGTGGCCAACTTCCAAACATCAGAGGTCAGATATCCCACTCAAAGCCCAACAGCATGGAGGGATCTATGAAAAATATTGAAACAGAGCAGACTCCGGGCCTCTGCTTAGATCTGCAAGCTCCTCAAAAGCTCCAATGTTTGTTATGGTGACATCACCTTTGGAGGGTGATCTGTCAGCCTCAGAGCGTCAACATCGATCCCTCTATAGATACCAATATGCAATATATGTAGTTGGATTTCTTAAGTGTGAGTTGTGCCCTTGCAACCGTGGAAAAAAACTCAATAGCGCGCCATCCTCACTATTTACCCCACGCACAACGGAAGCCTCAACGTCTAAATCAGCTCAATAATGTTCCTATTACAGTACCGCGCATACCAAGTACATCAACGCACTACGAATACTGCATCCCGCAGGAGAAGACAATCACGTTCTGTTCGGTGATGACGGGGCAAACTCTGATCGATGGCGTTCCTGGACGTGCGTATCGAGAAAGCCGAATGAGATCAAGGGGAGTACCCCTAATGAGATCAAACATGATTTGGGAAGTAATTTGATGCGATCTCCTGGGCGACGACTGTCTTTCTGTTCTCTAGCAAGCGTTACAAAAATGCTGGATGTATCCATGCAATCTACTAGGTAGTACCCTGTAGTAATTGAAAAGCAGTTGCAACCTGGATGCATCATGCATGAGGCAATCGCCAAATATTCAATGTTTGGCGGCCATGTCAATCACTGTTCATGCAAATAACTTGGTGGCCAGACTTGACCTGGCAGGTGTGCAGAACTATTCACAGCACCGAAAGCTGGTTGGATGTTCATGCTCAAGAAATGACACCTGGCATCATGTGGTGGACACCAATGTTCTCTGCAGCGTACACAGAATGTTGGGCTAGCCTGTGCTAGCCAGCGGTGTTCAGACAGGAAATCCGTCCAATGTACCCTAGCCATCATCATTGACAAGTAGCATAAGATCCCATGCTTTGACGACACATTTGCGGCAGACTAACTAGATGGCACACCAACCGAACTACCTTCCTCTACAAGAATAAGTCACAGGGGAAACGGCCAGCTGACCAATGCAATTAATGGGAGATTAAGAGGGCCTCAGGGTTCCGCACAAGGACCAGAGCGTTATATGCAGGTGGCTCTTGCTGTTAGATCCGCCATGTCTCTTTGCATGCTTTCATTCACCCTGCAGTTGCTGCTGGGTCCGCTGCAGAATTGGCAGTCACGGGCGGGGGCTCCTGCCTGAAGTAGGTCTGCCACTGCCCACAGGAGAAGGTTTGGACCTGCGCACGCCACCGCATCCCAGTCTTATGCACTTGCTTATCCACATCCAATTCCTGGTGATCATCTCTGCTCCTCAAGCACACCCAAAAAGTTCCATCTTGTGCAGCATGGCAGCTGCATGAGCAACTTTAAAGCTGGCTCCAAGTTCAACCTTAAAATGCCGAGTCCCTCAAAGGGCAGCTTGCATGTGTGTGCTGCCACACTGTGGCACACCTTGGCAAGACTCCATGGGTGCATGCAGCACAGCTACCGCATACATATTACCTGTTAATATGACCCCACTTGTAGTGTCGGCTTGACCACTTTTGGGAGGGTCCAATTCTCAGGTCAGGGGAGACCCAGGGGATGTACCTTAAGGTCCTGGTTGGCCTCGTAGCAGGGTGTGACCTCCGACGCGCATGTGGCCCGGCCGCCGCCGGTCTTGAGAAAGCACTCCTGCAGCGTGGGGTTGAAGCTGAAGGAGGTGCACTGCGGCTGCGCCATCTCGCATGCAATCTCACACCCCTGCACTCCCACCGGCAGCACCGAGCCCGCCCCACCCTGCACTCAGCGAGGCACACGTCTTATTATAACATGCTTTTCCCGCCAGAGGGCAAGGTACGTCCTGCAGACAAGCTGCAGTTGAAGGCTCTGCCCCAATCCTACCCATTTTTGACTCGCCAGATCCAAGCAAGCCCCAATCAACCGTGGGCACGGTGCTCAGTATTGACACTGCCCCCTACCAGCCAGGGCACATGAAATCCGCTATATTGCACCCCATGAGTGCAAAGTTCGACCGGAAAACCCTGCCAAATATGCTCAAGAGCGCGCAACTGTTGCATGCTGTACAGGTGAATAGTTTATTTTGCTGCCCCCAGCGTGGCTGTTCCTGCAAGCTCTGGCAGTCCTGCCAGTTGTGGAGGACAACCTTGAAGGGAAGTTCTTGATCCTTTAGTGCACAAGTGCTGTCAAGCTTGCTGCCTACACAAACGTCTTGCTGATGAGTAAGTAAGAATATGGGGGTCCAACAGGCTTGGGCATCCCAGAGGATGCCCTTGTGGGATTGGGCCTGTGCTTCTGGGGCGGGTTTCCAGTCCATCCAGAACATTTTGCCACGTGGACTGCCATGTTTATTGGACATGTCTATGCGAGTCCCTTGCATAGCCCAAAGACATTGAATTTATCTGTCCGAGGCCGCCCAGGGCCTTATATCTGGCCATTCTGGTGTCAAACGTGAAGTTATATAATGTTTTATGTAATGCTCTCATGAAATTACATAAGAACCCTGTGGGCACGCACCGCATGCGAAGGGGTGGCTTGCACAGACCCCGTGGGGTCGTCAACCAATCCAGGGGAGCCGACAGGGTGCGCGAGGTTACTACCCTCCGAGCATGCCACGCGGCCTTCGCCATCGGTCACATACCGAGCCGCCATGCCCGCCAGCTGCGCATTCGGTTGGCAGGTGAAGCCGTCGCCTGCGTGACAGAATGTAGATACACTTCTCTGGAGCACCTTGCTGTACTGTTTTTCGTACATGGCAAGCAATGACTAAACGCAGGACCAAAGGTGCTCGCAAATCATAGGCAGCTCATCATGTGGGAGTCTGTGCTCAAGCGTAGGGAATTGAAACTTGAAGAAGAAGTCCAAGTGCTTGCAAAGAGACACACGGAGAATTTTGCGTCCTCCACACCCTTCAATTCACCGCAGCTCTTTCTATTGCCAATCTCCCAGTGATCAGATCAGGAATGCTGTGCAACGTGATGCCAAATGAGACAAGGTGCGCATGGCAGTTTCAAGTGCTGCAGTATTAAGGCAGGGGACTCTAAACTAATTAGTTAGTTTAGAGTCCCCTGGTCAAGGCGTCAGGAAGGGAGGCTGAGTTGATGTCGAGGTGAAGGAGGGTGCACCATCAAAGCCCCAGTAGCAGCGACAGGTGTATCCTCCGATGCTGTTGATGCATCCCGCGTTGCCAGCGCAGCCGGCAGTCCCTCTCACACATTCATTCACATCGATATTGCAGGCCGGCCCCTCAAACCTGTCATCAAAAATTGACTGTCTTACTAAGTGGAACGCGCGCATGCTTGTTCTGACTTACACGTATGATGTCACATTGTGCACAAGCGTGGAGAACGCGCCCTGTGCAGACGAGAATCTCCCCAGCTGTTTCAAGAATGCAGCTCTGTTCTGTGCTGTGGCAGAGCCCAATTTATGGATCAAACATAGATACCTGAATTGAAATTTGCTGCTGGATGGAAGGACAGCTGAAATGTGTCACTGATTGCCCGCAAAGCTCAGGGCAGTGCACCGGTGAGACATTCATGTGGGAGGATCTTAGGTTGACATGGCTTCTCACCCTGTGCCGGGCTTCTTATTCACCCAGGTGCTGACGCAGTCGTTGACTGGCGGGTTCCTCGCCGGCCTGGCCGCTGAGCAGTCCGCCAGAGGCCCATCCAGCCTGCACCGTACATCACCAATCTAAGCACTAGTTTCATGACTGTATCCTACGCCCACTGCGCTCCACTCAGCGGCCCTGCCTTAAGTGCAGCCACTTCAACTTGATGACCACCGTGCTGAGAGGCCAGGTGCACCTGCAGACAAATTCCTGGAAGGATATGCCACAATCCTACGCCTTGTTGGACCCGCCAGACACAAGCAAAATCAGCAATGCAGAGACTGTACTCAGTCTTGATACTGCATCCCACCAGCCAGTTCATGTATCAATCAAACAATCATGAAACTCCCAGAAAAGCACTCAGCCCTTCCCTTGGAGAGGCATGGCAAGGTTTCCATGGAAACGACGCTGAAATAGTGAGGGTGAAGTAGTGACGTGAAGCTAAAGTAGTGAGTGCGCACGCTCTCATGGCCTGGGCGTTCTGGCGGATGGTGGGGAATGTGCTGTCCCCCTCTGTCACCCCATACAAGCCCTGGCCGCCGCCCTCGACTGCCGGCGCCAGTTGCCCTTCCCCATACCACTGCCAGAATGCCTGCCCTTTGATAGCTCCCCCGCTGCTCGCACTCTGCCAGTACATGGGTTCTCAATTCACCATTCTGGGCAAGGGAATTGTTGAAATGTCGCTGCAAAATGTCCACTCGCAAGGCAGCCCTTCCTATCTTTTCCCTGGCGTTATTGGTGTCCGCATATCTCTTTCTCTAATCTTGCCCCGTTTTAGTCACTGAACTCTGATGTGTATTGGCCTTAAAAGGCTGATTATTAGAATTTAAATATATACTATGAAAACTTGTCATGCACTACCTCACCATCAGTGGCATGGGTTCAGAAATTAGCCGTTGGACTAAAAAGGTCCTTGAACTGATGAGGCTGATTGAAAGCAACTTGCTGCAAAAAAAGGTAAAGGATATCAGCACTTGTGGTGACAGTTAAGCTGCAAAGCTGTGCAGATATAGTCTCTATCGAGACAGTTTGCTCAGCTGGCAGCAGGCCTTTGTATTGGGAAAAAAATTTCTCACATTGAGCACTTCTTGGTAGGCTGCCTGGTAGAAAGAGTCCCTCTCTGCCTGGTCTGCGGATGTGCCCGGCTTGATCCATTTGCCAAACTCCTCCAGCAGAGCCTGCAAAAGACACTCACAAACCCTGGCAGACCTGGGAATTTGCCTTGAATGCCTATTTAGCCAGCAGTGTAAAAAACCAGATATTATAATCCACATCTCACGGGAAGAAGATTGAGTCACCCAAGCGGCACACCCGCCTCGGTGCTTCAGATGGGACCAGCTCTGACAGGGGAAGATATTCTTCCATGAGTACCGTATTGTTGCATGCCTTTCTTTGTGTTGCAGGCATTTGATACTCCTGTGTCAGTAAGAAGCTAGGATATATATGCATTGACAGAACATGCACCGGCTTGCCAATGGCGGCTGCATCGGCTGCATGCTGGCGGATCCAGTTCTGCTGGAAGGTTATGTCATCGTCCAACCAGTTGTCCACCCAGCTGTGGAACGCCGCAAAATCGATGGCGGGGATGTTGTGATTCGCAATAAAGTCCTGCCCCTGTTGCCCTGCCCACCTGCGCGCACATGCCGGCACATGCTCACATACACCAACAACCTCAAGCGTGTAGGAATGCAAGAGTTCTAGCTGAGTCTGGTCCTGTGTTTTGGAGGGGTCTGCCCCTCCCTCCTCCTTTAGGACTGTCATGGCAGGTCCCAAATTCCACAGATATGGCGTTTGAGTGCTAGAAGTCTTCTGCAAAGAGGCATTGATAATCCACTACATCCATGCAACATATGAGGTCAAGAATGCAAGCGCTATGATGGGCTGCTGCCGCAAGCATTCGGTATATCCTTGCCTGTCGAAAACCACAGCAAGCAGCATGCAATGGACATGCATCAACAGAGGCAAGATTTCAGCTAGCTGGGGTAAATTCAAATCTCTGTAACATATAGAGATAGCAACATTTAAAGCAAGCAGTGAAGGGTTTGTGTTGGGGCCGTTGCGCACGAGTTAGCTCCCTGGGGGTTGATGACGCGCGTGGGGTTTGTGCCGGAGTAAAACCCCTCCTCGCCGATGCTGAGCAGGTGATTAGGGTCCAGGGATTTAACATAGGGCGCCATCTGCGCCAGCCATGACTGCAGTGCCGGCCCGCAGCTGCACAAATTCAAAATCCAAAGTCATCCTTCAAAATCACTTGCTGTCACTTTGGGACTCAAGTAAGGTTACGAAGGACCGACCCAGCCATATCTCATCAGCCCCTTTGAGGAGGCAATGCATTCTGAACTTGCACACTTCATGCGATTCATGCCCATCAGTGCTTGAAGAGTTCCATTGTGCAAGCCAAGTCACGGAAAACTGATCACTTGGAGTGGGCAGTCTGGAGTAGCCAAGGGGAGCGCACTTTTGGCATCGGGGCTCGTTGATCAGGTTCCAAGCAAAGATGGTGGGGTCGTCTCTGTACCTGCGAGTGTACAACCAAAAGTTTGAGCACCAAGGCCCCTAATTTTATTTGCAAGCAGGAACCATAAGCCTGTTCTTGACTGGGACACACGAAGGGCATGGGGTAGAGCTGTGTCCTCTTCTGTGTTGCAATTGTCTCGAGTGGTTGTGACTGCTGTCGTGCCCAACATGCCTGCACATGACCGGTGGGGGACTGACCTGCGGCCGTTGATGGTGTTGACCCGGTTGATGATAGTGGCCACAGTGTTTCTGTAGAGCTGCATGCAGTTTCGATCGCTGAAGAACTGGTCGTGGCCCTTGGCAGTGCCACTCCATGACACATACCTGTCCACGCCGTTCGTCTGGTCCCAATTGTCCACAAAGGACAGGATCAACTGCGCGAATGCAGCACGACACGATATTAGACAAGCACACGATGCCCACGGCGTGAGTTTGCAGCAAATCCTGCAGCAACACTTCAAGTTGAAAATCACCAGCAAGGATTTGTGCTGTGGACAAAGCTCTGCTGGACAAAAGTATGTCGCTGCATAGGGTGCTGGACCAAACCAGGGGAGTGATCTTTTATTTGTCTGCTGCAATAAAAGCGCTTTTGCCCAGAATTCTGATGAAGTCCTCAATTCACACTGCACCTCATGTACCACTCTCCATGGGCAGAAACCAGGCTAGGCCTGCTCTTTCGTCCCAGCTCAGCATGCGAAAATGCTCCATGCCGAGCTCCTCTAATCTGTGCGGCCCCTAGAAAGACACAGAATCCAGAGGAACAAACTTTGTTCAACAAAGGAGGGGGCGTGCCTTGAGGCCTCTGCGGCGCGCCTGGTCAAGAGCATAGTCCAGTCCCCTGAAGATGGCCTCGTTGAACTGGCTGGGCGCCGTCTGCAGCGCGTACCTGCAACGTTTATTAAATTCAAACACGATGACGGTCAGGTACGTTGGTATTGCAGACATTACGCTTAGATAAGTTGCTCTGCCATGAAGCCAAGAGAGGATGCAGATAGGAAGGCGGAGCGAGTGCCAATGAAGTAGAGGAAGGCCTGAACAGGCTAAATGAACCCAAGCATCCCCCACGAGCTGCTCTCACTAAGGCTCACAGGGCTGTGCCAGCAGCAAAGCGTGACCAGGCAGCAGCATCATAAGATCATAGTAATTTTAAGAAGCTTTACTAACGTACCCGTCGGAGACAGAGTGTGCCCACGCGCGCATCACATTGAGGCCATACCCCACCGCCTTGTCCATGAGACCCCGGATGAGCTGCGCAGGCAGAAACATCACTCCATCAGCACGGCCTCATATCTCAGCTCTTTGTGCGGGTGAGGGTGTAAATCGCAGTGCCAGCAACGCCTTGCAAGAGTTCAAATGGCAAACTTGAACAGTGTGATTGCACTGAGCACTCAGAAGAGGATGTGGCTTGATGCTGGGTTGCCTTGATCGCTGCAGAACTTGAGAGCAAGCAGGTCCACAAGATCTAGGTCCACAAGTTTTGACTTTGACGGGTCTGACGCACAGGTCCATTGTTGGGAAACACTTGGGATATAATCTCAGGAATTACTTTGAAGGCATTGTGTAAGAGGGGCACCTGTGGCCCGGTAACGCCCAGTGGTAGCGATGCTCCATACAGCACAGGCGCTCCAGCTGCAGCTTCCATCAGCTCCCACCTGCCGCACCACAATCACCAATCCTTAGCTGATATTTGAAGTTGAATCAGAATTTGGAAGGTGGGGGTCACCCCAGATGAGCCCAGTCCTATCCTTGCGTTCTGCTGGAATATCTCTCCAGCAGAGAATAATTCTCAAATTTATGTGTAGCACAATAAACAACCGCAAAGTATTGTGCGTTGGCATGCTATACATGTAACAATCGCAGGATCAATGGCTTGCCTGCGATCCATCAACAGAACACCTGTCACCATGGAACAACACCAGGAGTGCGTGCAAACTGTCAGGCGGTCACATCACATGCCGTGCAGCTAAGCCAGGGCTGCCAGACATGTCTGGTGAGGCACGCTGCAAGCATGCTGGGAATCTGCTTGTTTGCTTGCAAATTGCCCTGTAACTACTGAGCACCATGGTTGCTTGGCTGTTGCTTGGATCTGGGAATGTCAGTAAGGGGTACAAAATGTGGCAGCCTTTACCTGCAGCTTCTCTGCAGACGCACATTCCCTTCCTAGCAGGAACGGGGGTGTAATAACTTCGTTACTGAGTAAGGGTGTGAGTTTGCGCACGTGTTCCATCCGGCAATAAAGTATTTCTGGCAGCCGAGCGCAAAATTGCGGTCGGCTGACACACTGACAAAGTATGCGTCTGCAGCCGCTATGCTGCTGTTGTCTGTGGGAGCTGGTACTTGGTTCAGGGACCTTCTGTGATCCAGTCCTGCCTGCATGACATCACATGCCTTTCAGTGGGATTATCCCAAGTCAATCACTGTGGACATACCGCATCTTGGCATGAGTTGGACAGTCCAATGATTCATTCAAGTTGCTCTCCAGCAGTTCTGTTCATCGTCTGCCCGGCTATAAGTTCATGAGCAGGTTTCTAACATTGAGAACGAGAATATTCGAGGAGGATATGCGATGAGGATAGCTGTGTGTTGGGACTGCAGGACACCGACCTGCTTCGCGTTAATGGACAGGCTTTCGACTCTTCCCATGATGTTGAGAGGCAAAGTCAAGGCCAAAATGGCAGCAAGCAAGGACGCTGCCATCCCCAAACGTGCTTCCGAAACCAGACGTCTTATAAAACTGGTCTCTCGGAGGAGCCTAGCGTCGACACGCTGGATCGTTTCTATGAGCTCCCTCGACACCGATTGAAAGGCATCATATCACGAAGATCAGAGGAACTGTACACATCAGCTTTCGCCGACAACAGTGGGGCCGTGTGTCAATTACCAAGACAAACTTGGACTCCATCGTTGTGCTGGCAGATTCAGTACGCATGCAGATTATGCACCCCTGAAAAACTTGCCACGTGCTGTTCAGCCACCTAACCTTCTTGCAAAACGTCTCAGGGTCCATGGAACGCCTGCTAGACAAGCATGCTGCCCAGCACAAACTTCTCTTGCGCTTGTCGACAGTTCGGTGCCTTGTCTTGGCTAAGCTTCCTTACTATCGAGCCTTATCACTGCAGATCGGACGTCAAGAGTGTTGGTGCACCTGCATTTTGCTCCGAGGAGCCAGCTGGGACACGAAAGGACTTCTTGGCTGGTAGCAGCTTACGCCAGATCAACACAGCCGGCGGCAGCGATGATTATGGCAGTCTCGGTGGATGCGATGCGACAAACTCTCCGGTTGTAAATATAAAGCGGCATCCGTGGTGGAATTCAGCTAGATTTAGAGAGCTGACCTTGGAGGGCGGTTGCATCTTCCCTTGCGCAGCGGGGCAGCTCAACCGCAAGATCGGTGCCAGATATAAGGATCGAAGGTAGGGCCTGAAGGGAGGGACAGATAACAGACCTTGAAAGACATAGGGTAATGGAGTTTTTGAGGAGACAGCAGTCCCTTGTGGGCAGCCAGGGAGTCACGGAGTTCTTTGCTGACGGGAGGTTGTCCGCAGAGAGGCAGAGTTTTGTCGTTGTGCGATGCGCGAACAAAGGTGAAGATCAGCACCATTAAGTTTTCCGGTATAGCTCCAATCCGAGATTGCGCTACTTGCGGACGAGGGCCCGCTAAAGCACCTGCTGCTATAGCTCCGTCGAGAGTGACTAGACCTCCTAGGTTTAGCGGCAATGCAAATTCAGCATGTTTTATCTACGGACAAAATCGTTTGGGTAAAGACAATTTGCAATATTGGTCTCTTTAGCCGTACCAAGGCTTTCGCGAGCTGTAGCAGCTCTTCGCATTCTTTTCAGCTTACGGCATCCAGGGGACTGATGCTCCTTTCACAGGGACCTTGCATTATCCAAATTCTTGGAGGCTGCCATAATCCCAGGAGTTCTCGAACTTTTTTCGGATAAATTCCAAACAAATGTCAGGGCAGCCCTGGTATGTCTGTTGTCCCTGACCAGGTCAAGCCTCTGGATGCACAGTGGATGTCTGACCAGATAACCTGGCCACGGCAATATGCTCATGGCTTAGCCATTTGTTTTTTGATTTAATTTCTAATTTCTTAGGGTGCAAGTAGCCTTCCTGGAAACGTCAGAATAGACACTGCAACTGCATGTGCCCTGCTGCCTTCCTGGCATTGCAGAGATAGACTTGCCTGTTCAGGGCATCACATGCACCCTGCAGGACCTTTTATGCCCTTCAGGCATGCCTCACAAGCAACGTCTAGCAGCAGGAACCCCAATAACGCATCACCAGCTTTCGGCAAGGCTGTTTCACCTTGTGACTGCTTCCCTGTTCCTGTTCTGCACTCATGTTTCCCTTTCGAAATGCAAATCGTGCATTTGCGCAGGTGAAGGCATGGTTATGCTGGATGAGCTATGGGACTTGTGGGCGCTGGCTCAGCAAGAAGAATTGCAGCACAGCCTACTCACAGCAGTAGCAGTCTGCACAGCACTGGCAGCTGTGGTGACAGCCTACATCTTCACGAGGGCCCGACCGGTGTATCTGCTCAACTACAGCGTGTACAAGCCGCCTGAGGAGTGGCGCGCCTCACATGACCAATTCCTTGAGATTTCGCGATTGTGCGGGGTGCGGCCCTGTCCTGTCTCCAAGCCCTCTTATTGTTCTCTTCCTTAGAATCATTTGGCAGCCTTCGGCGTGAGATTAGCGAGAGGGTGTTGTGTGCCAGATGCTCTTTTATCCTGCGCCGCTGTTTAGTCTCAGCACACCTGCTCGGGAGCACTTGCTAGGTGCTCTTCAGTTTGGTCTGGTGTGATTGTCCCAAACAAGATACATTCTGTGCATGCCAAGAAAGAGTGCTGATGGTCTTGTGCTTGTGCCCTGCCTTAATTAGAAAATTATGCTGTGTTTTTCTCGCTGTGACAGCCGTGTGCCACACGGTGCTAAGCGTAGCCAGAGGGCTCTCCTTTAAGAGGGAGCAAGCCTGGCAGTGGCCGCTTGACAGGCCACAGCAGCGTTCACTAGAGGCTGCAATACAACAGAGGGGGTCTGGCAGTGCTTCTTGGTGTGTGGGGCTCTGAAGGATCGTAGAGGCTCTGACTTGCAGCGAGGGCCACAGAAGTAGCACCATTGATTTTGATTCTGATTTTGGTTGCCTGCACGCGCAGGCGTTTGATGACGCCAGCATAGCATTCCAGACAAAGTTGGTGGCCAACGGCGGGCTTGGACAGGACACCTACCTGCCGGAAGGTACACCCACTTGTACCACCACCTTTGTTATATATAATCAGTGGTGCATTCTATGCCCGGCTTGAGGATGGCAAAGCACTTGGCGACTGTAAGAGTCCCAGTCTTGAGAAGACCCGACTTGCTCACTGGAAGTAGCCGCCTTGGAAGAATGGAATACCGGACTGGCAGAGACGCCTTTGCAGGGGCACCAACGAGCAAGACTGGGGCCAGCCCAGCACCACCAGCAGGATTCCGGTCAGATTAAAAGAAATAAATAAAAATGACAAAGCAAGTCTGTGCGGCCGTGCAGGAGTGCTGGCGCGGCCGCCGCAGCCGACGATGGCGAATGCGCGGAAGGAGGCGGAGATGGTTCTGTTTGACTCTGTCAGGGACGTGCTGAGGGCCACAAACCTGCACCCCAGAAATGTGCGCTCCTCTTTTTGTCCCCTGCTCTCTTTTCCAGGTCTCAGCCTTGCCTTTGTGTGATTGCCTCAAATGCAAACCAGGCAGTCAGGAGGAGCAACTTGGACTCAGCTCTATAAATTTGTGCATGCTCAGCATGAATACACATGGTGGGGTCTGGCTTTTGAAACATGCCCCGTATCCTGACAGACATCCAACTTGCATGCTTGCCCGGCTGTCACATTGTGAATCTTTGCAGCAGCAGCGATCGGGGATTGTCATGCTCGGCATACAGCCAGGGACAGGATTTTGTAACTCAGTGACTGGCAGCAGCATATGGTTGTAATTGGGAGCAGCAGAGGGAGAAATCGGGGGAATCCTGAAGCCGCTGGGCATATCTGTGCGCAGGTGGACATTGTGATAGTGAACTGCTCGCTGTTCAACCCGACCCCTTCCCTGAGCGCCATGATAGTGCACCACTTCAAAATGCGGCCCAACGTGATCACCTACAACCTCTCTGGCATGGGCTGCTCTGCTGGCATCATCTCTATTGGCCTAGCCAAGGAGCTCCTGCAGGTGTGCACCCCATCCTTGACTGACATTAACACAGAAGTACTGGACTATTCCTGACTGTATCTCGTCCCAATTTCTAGTACCCTATGGGGAGCAGGGCTAAATCATCTGTGTCAGATGGGCGTGCAAGGAGACCAAGTGCATCACATCGTGAGACAAATTGCAGAGTTTTAACTTGAAATCATGCATAGGTGTAGACTATTTTTATGTCCTGAAAACCTTGTCTCATGATGCCAAAGCAGCGTCAATCAGTCTGGCTTTTTGGACCTTCTGTTGGACAGCAGAATGTATCATGCATTGGCATCACAGGTACTTTAAGCGTCCCCAGGAACACATCGCATGGTGCAAAGAGAGTGATGTGGTGGTGGATCATTCTGCTGTTCAACGATGTGTTCAAGACGTTCTCACAGAGGGACGATGCTGAAGACCTGGATGGCGCTGACACATGAGATGGATGAAAGTGTGGTTTTCTGCCACATGGACAGTGCAGAGTATGTCATGTACATACTCTGGGGAACAGCAAACTGAACTGCTGTAGAGAGTTTGTAGCATGGTACAAAGAGAGTGATGTGGTGGATTGGTGCTGCGCAGATGTACCCCAACAAGAACTGCGTGGTGGTTAGCACTGAGAACATCACCCAGAACTGGTACTTTGGCAACGAGCGCTCCATGCTCATCCCCAACTGCCTCTTCCGCGTGGGGGGCGCCGCCATGCTGCTCTCCAACAAGGCCACCGACTACTGGCGCGCCAAGTAAGTCGCTGAGTAGTCACCACTCAGGCATTGTTAGTCACCTCTAATTCCAGTGTTGGCGTGTCCCTGATTGATCGCTGCAGCATCCTCCCTCAGCACAGCATTGACCATGGGGATTGTACATGCATCGGCTGCACAGAACTCTTCCCTGCAGCGCGCATGAAGGGAGCCCTGGACACTCTTTGATGCAGCTTGTTGTTTCAGAGGGGACTGACAAAGCCACAGGATCCGACCATGCTTGCCCCCTCAATCTCCACCACACGACTCACTGGGAATATTCAATCCAACAGTCAATAACAGCACGATGGTTGACAGTGTTCTGTTGCGGCTGCGCAGGTATGAGCTGCAGCATGTTGTGCGCACGCACTTGGGCGCTTCGGACGAGTCCTACAACTGCGTCTACCAGAGAGAGGACGAGAACGGCAAGGTGACTCACCATTACCCAGTTGTCCATCTGTCCTCGTAGCTCATGTAGCACAGCACCAAGCCTGCATTGCAAAATGAAAAAATTGGCAATCCTGTCATCAATGTCAAATCCTTCCCAGAATACAATAGCAAAATTCTATTTGCACTGGAGAATACCTGTGCAGCCAACCTTTGGCATGAAACGGGACGTGGCCCGTCCAGCTTCCAAATGGGTGTCTTGGATAGGAGCAAGTGGGTAGAATATTGCTGCTAATGGTACTATGGCAAAATGCAGAAGCCATGATTCCACATTGATGTGCAGATTGCAGGTATATCGTGATCCTTGACATGCATACTCCTAAGAGGCCTCTGGCCCATATTAACAGTGAACATCGAGAAAAGGTTGGAAGGTGCCTGAAGGCGGGCTCAATTGGTGAGCAGGTGGGCGTGCACCTGTCCAAGGACCTTATGACCATCGCTGGTCGCTCCCTCAAAGCCAACATCACCACTCTGGGCCCTCTTGTGCTGCCCTTCTCAGAGCAGCTCCTCTTCCTCGCCAACCTCGTCTCGCGCAAGGTGCGCCCACTGCCTCTCATGTGCATCGTTGACGCGCATGTCTTTCCATAAAGGGCAAAAGACTGGACTGGCACTCATTGCAAAGGGAAGAGCGTCAGTCTTTCCTTCTGCGAGTTGTGGTACGATATGACATGCTGGCTTTCTTTAAATCCTGAGGACGCTGTGTTCTATTCTGCACTTCGCCTGACTGCAAAAGCATGAGTTAAATTAATTTGAAATGATGTGCGCGGTCAGGTGCTGGGCATGAAGGGCAAGTCGTATGTGCCGGATTTCAAAAAGGCGTTCGAGCACGTGTGCATCCATACCGGCGGCCGGGGGGTCATCGATGAAATGGAGAAGCAGCTGCGCATGACCCCTGCTCTCATGCAGCCCTCACGTGACGCGCTGCACCGCTACGGAAACGTCTCATCCTCCTCCATCTGGTGAGCCTCTTTGCCCTGCAGAATGGCGTTGTAATTCTCGCCTGCAAACTGGCATTGCAACCCTTTCCCCGTCAGCTTCTTCGGGCGTGTGCCAGATGCTCGTTAAATCCTGCGCCGCTGTTCAGTCTCAGCACACCTGCTTGGTAGCACTTAATAGGTGCTCTTCAATTTGGTCTGGTGTGATTGTCCCAAAGCAAGATACATTTTGTGCATGCCAACAAAGGGTGCTGATGGTCTTGTGCTTGTGCCATGCCTTGAAAGATTCTGCTGCATTTTTCTCGCTGTGACAGCCCACCAGGCAGTGCTGCTTGTTTTTGAACGCTCTCAACCACGTGTTCTCTTCAATTTCTGCCAGGAGAATACCTAGCAACTCTGTTTTTGTCCTTGTGTTATCGGAAAGTAGACGTGACACTGCTGTGCCTTGCGCAGGTACGTGCTGGCGTCGATCGAGACAAAGAAGGGCGTGAAGCGAGGCGACCGCGTGTGGCAGATCGCGTTCGGGTCGGGCTTCAAGTGCAACAGCGCCGTCTGGCGCGCGTTGCGGCACGTGCACACTCAGCACGAGGCCTGGCTGGACTGATTCACCCTGCTGCCTGACTTGGTACACCCCTGCAACCGCCTGATCAGGCGCTACCCAGCAGTGGCCTAATCAGGCGCGGCACAGTAACGGCCTGATCAGGCGCGGGTCAGGAGCGGCCTGAACAGGCGAGGGGAGTGTTTGACCTGGCGGTGTCAGGTTGGGGCACAGCACTTGCAACATTTGGAATGTGTTAGGATGGCAGAGTGGCAGCAGCTGTGAGACCGGGGGAAGCAGCATCTGCAGAGCTTGCATATTGGCAAGCCTTTGAGCGCGGCTTCTTGTTCTATACATGTGTTCCATAGCAGTGGCTCGAGGCCACGGGATAGACAGAGGCTTGTGCAGCTCCAAGATGCATCACCCTTCTTCATAACTGGGACTTCTTCCTAGTTACTGCACTCAGCAGCAGCACTGGGTTAGTAGCAGACGCCATCCACTTGTGCAAATAAGAGAGCGGCAGGGCTGTTTTGAGAGACATGTTCCCCTGCAAGAGAGCTCTACCTGCGGCAGATCAAAGGATCAGGAATTATGGCAGCCGAGTGTCCAAGGATGCACCGGCCTGGCACCATTTCTCCTTGCACACAGCGCAAGCACCTGCCTTCTGCTCAGCGCAGCTTGAAAGCAATCCAGCACTGCTGGATCTGTACAGCAGTCAAGCCTTAGCTCTGCAGCATTGCGCCTGTCCTTAGCAGTCTTTTCATGTGTCTGCAAAACACAGCACTGCGAGCTCAAAGGAGCTCTCTGCTGCCATGCCAGCTTGGCAGCGCCCAAAGAGGGGGCATGTAGAGGGTTGAGAGCCAGCCCGGTAGAAGTAGCAGTGGTAGATGGGTTGTCAAAGGGCAAGCAAAGGGGGTTGCTCTGGGATGCCTGTACAGGCGCACAGTTTTGAGGAAGTGACCCTGAGTCATCTGAGGCAAATGCCACATTGCGAATGCAGTTGAATATAGAGCGAGCGATTGGACATAGCTAGAAGGGGGGCTTCGCGAAGGCAAGAAATAACTTGGGGATTCTTTGCCGGGCTCACTTTGCCTTTTTGCCAGGAAGAGTCACTCTGGCCTGCTCATGCTGGGCTTGCAGGACTGTCAGCAAGGGTCAGAAATTTGTTGAATACAGCGAGGTGTGATGCAAGCACGCACATGTGTGGTGTTCGTGCTGTGTGATCAGGCCTGGAACGTCTAGAACCTTGAATGAACCCATTGGCATCGAGAGTGGAAACGCTTCTGAACTTCTAGCTATAGCATCGTCAATACGTATGCTGACGGTGACATAGCAAGATTGAGGGGAAAGTCTTTAGATGTGAAAGTCTTGAGGGACGGAAAGAGAGAGAGACGTGCTTGGTGAGACTGGTCTCCGAAACTGTATCTGTCTCGTAAGCAGTATTCTTTATGCTAGCAGATTTTCAGTTGTCAGATTCAGTTTGCTTCTGTTGTTCACCCATCAAGGATTGTAATACAGGCAATTCTTGAGCATCTGGGAAGCAAAGTCTCGGAAGGGACAATCGGTCGATTGTCACATGGTGGTGCATCCGATGCACGAGCTACATGCTTTGCAGATTTCATCCTCGAATCGACAGATTCAACTCAAATCTTGGTGTATATTTATGTCTCGTTGCCTTCTTTTCAAGAAACACGACATGCCCTTCCGTCGGACGGATCCGGAGGTGTTCCGTCACACGATTCTAGACAGCACGTACATATCTTTGTTGTGATCGCAGCTCAAAATAGTGCAAAGTGTGGTGTCAGAGATGGCTGGATCGTCTGTTTGCACCGACGGCAATTGGTGGGAGGCAGAGCTTCCAGCGCCGGAGCGTCGCACTGCTCTGCCCCACGCCAAGCTAAAGCTACCCTCAGCTCAGGAGACCTGGAAGATCGTCAAGCATATGGTGAAGTTACCTTGTCATCTGCAAGTGCTCATCAACCTGCGCTATCTCTGAGGCCTTGCCTTGCAGTTGCACTGCAATTCAATGCAGTTCCTCAGTGTTTGGGGAACTTGTGTACCGGTATTCTGCGATAGTAAAGCATCTGCCACCTCATTTTTCCCCTTGTAAGAAAAAGTATTGCAGGCATCAAGGCTGACCAAGAATCAGAGGATGAGCTGCGTTGCAAGCAGACCATTCTGCAGAAACAGCACAAATGTAGCTGGTCCAGTGGCAGTACATGTCCGCATCGCATGCCTCTCATGCCAACATCAATTGTCTTGAGTTCAGCATTTGAAGTTGTGAAACAGATGGATTTCGATTCCGATTCTTTAAATTTGGAATTAATCAGGTGAGCAGCAACAGCATGGACGTCCCCATCCCGGCGCACATGTGTTTGCCAATTGACGAGCTGCAGCGGCGCGCAGAAGAGATGGAGTACAGCGAGCTCCTGGACCAGGTGACTCATCGCCAGCTCAGCCGCCGGCATGCTCATTTCCACAACACCATCAAAGTCCGGCAGCTTGAGCAAAGCACAATTGGCTGGAAAAGATGTGATGGCATTGGCTCATTGACACCTCCAATCGCCCAACCCGATCCCAATGCAATTTCTGGCCCACACATCACTGTTCTCCTTGGATTGATATTGGCAGCTGTGGTGGGATTTCCTGTGGTGCAGAGCAAATATCTTGAGGACAGCCAACCAAGTTGAGGTGTCTTTCAGCCGTGGGCAAACTGCTGCAAAATTCGGGAGTCACACGTTTTCCTGCATCGCTCTTTTGAACAGCATGTGCTAGGTTGGCCATGTGCCAAGATTCAGGACAAGCCGGCGCCTTAGGATCCAGCAAATTTTGTGGACTTGAAGCTGTGTGGTAAGGTGCAGGCAGCAGAGAAGCCCAAGGGCAGCATAGAGCGGCTGCTGCTCGTGGCGGCGTTTGCCGTATCGGCTTTTCAGGCGGTGCGGCCGATGCGTGCCAGCTTGCCTATCATGGGAGAGACCGTGGAGGTGAGGGCATTCCCTGCCTGCCTGAATACACACCCCTGCTAGGGGTAATTGAATTAGCAGACCCTTCAAGGTTAATAACCCCCAAGGGTTCATGAAAATATTGTCTGGCTTCCAGATAATTATAATCTATAATATAAAAAGAGAATATTGTTTTATCAAGATGATACAGTATATCTTAAACGTTATATAAAATCTGATAAAGGGCAGATTCGGGCTTCTCTCGCTAAGCTGCGTCTCTTGGTGAAGTTGTGTATTTGGCAACTTTAATGCGAGACTTGGTCAATTTCAAGGGCAATTTAGGCAAAAAGCGGATATAAAATGAATATTAGGGAGATATAATTTAGAACTATCGTTTTATATGCAGATAATACCCAATGTACATTGACTTATAAACCAGCCTCGGCAATATAAAACAATATAAAATAATGGGTATTATCAAATTGTCTCAATATTTTGTTTTATTATTATCATGAATCCTGTAGGCTACCCCTGCCTTGCTGCATGTGATGTACAGTCATGGAGGGCAAGGTGTCTTCATTCAAGGGAGCAATGATTTCATTGTGTCATGGGGCCCGTTCTCTCCAGCAGCACGCAGATCACTAAAAGCATGCAATGAATTTGTCTGCTAGCACAGCTGCAGCGCTCTTACAGAGCGTCACAATCCACTGCTGCTGCAGGTTCTCCTGCCGGAGAAGAGGATGCGCTTCATGGTAGAAACAGTGCGCAGCCTGACCTCTCACTCCTCAGCTTGGATGCAAAATTCTCCCAAAATTCTTGCCTGTTGGAGCCAAACTGCCTACCCGGCAGCCTTGTATTAAGCCTCCGAGTCTGCGTGATTTATGAGAGCGCCCCGAGGAACAAAAAGGGCAATCCTGGACTGTTCTTAAGCCCCTGTCAAGCGCTTCCCTTGAGAGGACCTGAAACAAATTGATGTGGTGAGAATGGCTGGTTGCAGGCGTACCTGAACCAGAAGGAGAACAGGGTGATTAACGCGTGGGTGGCCGAGGGAGAAAAGTGGATGCTGGAGGGTGAGGATGAGCCTGCGCTCAGGTTCTGGGGAGCTTCCTTGGAGCTGCACCTGAACTGGCTCGACCGTCTCATGTTCTCCGACGGCGATGCCTACTCCTGGAAGAAGGTGATGCATGATTCACATCATGCTTTCTCATGAGTAATAATCAGAAATTTTGTGGGTAAAATACCACCCGGGGTGAGTGGGGCTACAAAAGTATTGATGAGAAGTTGCGAATATGGGGTCTGGGCCCCGTCTTGCTGCATTCACTGCATCAATTGCATGCACACATTTGCATGCAATCACTCTGTCGGTAGCAAGCATACCCTTATAATTTCATTGCTTTGAACACATGAGCTGCTTTGTTCCCTGGCTCGAGCCAGATTGCCCAGCACCTATCTCTACTCACTTGCCATTCTAGATACAGTCATCTATTTGACGTCAACAAATTTTTATGGCTTCAACAATGATTTTGCAGCAATTCACGATTCGAATTCACCTTTGAATTTGGTGCGCATGTGGCTGGTGCAGATGACAACAGGGAACGCCGTCATACATGTGGTGGGTAAAAGCACGGTGAGCTTCAAGGGGGATGTGGTAATAGAGCAAGGGGACACCGGCCGCAGCGCACACATGGCCTTCAAAGACGGCAGCATGCTTAAAAGCATGGCAACCAGGAAGGCATCAAAGCACGAGGCACGCCTGCAGAATCTGTGCGATGTGCTCTCAATCGTCCCCCAAAGAGCTGAGAAAACCGAACTGCTCTTTCGCATGCAGATCAACAAGATGCAATGCCAACTTGACTTAAGATTGACTCATCTGCAATCCCACAAACCTTGTGCATTCCAGTCTGAAATGGAGAGCCCCAGAGGTATTTAACATTCTTGACATTGCTGTCAGAGCAGGCGAACAAACTCAAATACCAATGAAAAATCGTTGATGTTGGTGCTGTGCAGATCGTGGGGCACATAGAGGAGGGGGGTGTGCGGCTGCAGAGGCCGGTCATCCGCGGCCACTGGGATGCTGAGCTGGTCGCTGACCTGGCGGATGGATCACAGACCACCCTCTTCAAGATCAACCAACCCTGCGCAAACAGGTGACTCAGCCGCCTTCTTACTACTCTTTCTGTTACCTTGCTTGTCTGGTGCTCTCTGCTTCTCTATTTGCCCTCATAAGCCCCTTAGACCAGGTGTTCAATATGAGGCACGGCAGACTCTTGTACTCATACAACTGTCTGTGCCTGGTATGTGTGAACGTATGCGCATGCAGGTGCTGAATTGTGCAGCTCTTCCCGCATTGCTGCATGGCAGAGCTGAGTTATCCCTCCTTATGACCTGCTTGAGCACTGACCCAACAAATTGCACAATTTGAGAAGACGGTCTCCATGTCAGAGATGCGCACAAAGGTTTGGTGGTGCATGCAGGTATGACATGCCGTTGTTCTCCCTGCAACTGAATGAGATGACTCCGGGGCTGGAGGCAAAGCTGCCGCCCACGGACGTGCGCCGGCGCTGGGACCTGCGCGCATTGGAGCAGGGTGACTACGCCAAGGTGACTAATCAATATGTCACATGCTTTTCCTGCCATGAGGCAAGGTGCGTCTGCAGACCAGCTGCAGTCAAAGGCTGCCCATATCTTACCCCTTGACGGACTCGCCAGATCCAAGCAAGTCACCGTGGGCACAGTACGCAGTACTTATGCCGGGAAAGAAGTCCTTGAGGCAAATTGTGTACAGGGGAATGCACAATGCACAAGCGGCAAAGAATGGAATAAGCGGCTTTAAAACCAGCTTGGAAACGCAGGCGAGGTCACACTTTATGTCTATCTGTGCGCAGGCGGCTGCAGGGAAGGACATTCTTGAGGCGCGCTGGCGTGCGCGAGAGAGGGAACATTGTCAGAAGACCGGGGACACATCCCTGCCGCCGCGCTGGTTTGAGCTGAGGGAAGCTGACGGGCTCAGCAGGCAGCAGGGCAGCTCTCCACGCTTCAGGTTCCTAGAACTTCTTTTTGCAGCACTCATTGAGATGTGTGGGAGGATGTCCATTGATACAGAGGAAGCAAGCATGCAGAGACAGACTTAGAGGAAGCCCCAGAGATAGGGGGAAGGGGCTGCCTCGCAAGTGAACTTTGCAGCAGAGTGTTGATGCCCCAGATTGCGATTGGAATGAAAGATTGGTCCCACTGTGAGGCCTGTTTGCTGCACTTGTACCAACCATACCATATGAGCACATTGCTGCAGGAAGTAAGCAAATGTCAAGACCTGCATAAATGCCAGCTGGTATGTGCGTACAGGTACAAGGGAGGTTATTGGGAGGCTAGGGCGGCTGGTGGCTGGCAAGGCATCGATGAAATTTTTGCTCCAGAGGATACGGCCTAGGAATGAGATGTGAGAGACCGCAAGCATGGTGGCTATGCTTGATAAATCGTTACCGTGCTTTTGTGTTGAGCTTGCATGCTTTTTTCCCAAGTATGAAGTATGAATAGTGCTGGCATGGGAGCCTCATTCAGGAAGTACACCGAAGCATCTTCCTGTATATTCTGCATGCCTGAGAGAATGAAGCAGGAGACTTGTGGCTGCCAGAGGGCACACATCCTGGTTGCAAAAGTTTTCTTACCATCCTGCTGAAGATTTTACTATGGAAGGAGTCATCAGATGAAGCAGAGGCTTTCATTTGAATTGTTGGGCACATGCATGTAATGATGACTCACCCTCTACTGACTCATCACCGAAAATCTGACTCCAGTATCCCTGTCAAGCATCGATGAGAAGGATTTGTCAGACTATTCTCCGATCCCTGCAGTCAAGGCATTCCTTTCAGCGTGCTTTCTATACAGATCTGTAGCAAAGGCCAGCAGCCATGCAATCAGCATGGAAGTGCCTTGTGCTGATCGGTCTGGCGGCTCTTGGCGCCTGTGCGGCAGGAGGGCTGGAGGCTGATTGGGCTTCGATGCAGCCGTTATATCAGCAAGGAGGACTCGCGGCCAACTTGGACCCGCTCTCTCCTGGTCCTTCTACCGCCGTCCGCACGATTGACCCCTGGGACTACGGCAACCTGTGCGCTTTTCTTGCCATTTCTGCTTTTGGAGTCAGCATATCTTTCTTCAGATCGCTGTGTTGATATGTGCATGCTATTACCTATGTACGAGCTTATCACGTCCTAAGAGGCTGTCGTCTGTGCCGCTTCGAATTTCAGACTTTGCACGAGCACGTCTTGCTGCCCGAGCTCCATGCAGCGTCTCGCCCAGCTTATAAATATGCCTGTCCCTTTGCAAATATCATTTGCATGTGTGCTTGAGGAATGGAAGGTGTTCTGGCGAGACCTCCACCAGAACTTCCAATTAGGGTTGTTTGGAGCAATTTCTCTCCTGGGGTCCCTTGCATAAGCTTGCTGCACTGGTAAGAGAAGGCATGCAAGTGGTTGAAAGGACACAGCTGGCCTGGGCTGGGCAGCTGCGCGATTACTGTGCATGGAATACGGGCAGACTCAGCTAGCATGCGCAACGGGACCTTGGTTATGCGTTATTTGCCATTCCTTCACTGATTCAGCCTTTCCTCAGTTTGACCTTTTGTTGTATGGAAGGCTTGCTTTGTCTGCGCAGAGCATGCATGAGCAAGCTGCTGTCACTTCTTTTCGGCACAAAGCAGCGCCCCTGCTCATGCAGCATTCATCAGAGCTTGATCTCCAGATGACCCTGCCTTTATGGCTGGCACAAAGTGCACATGCCTGCCAGCAGATTTCAGAAGGTGTAGCTCCAACATCTGGCATAAGCAACAGCCCCTCCCCTTGAGATCTGGTGCCAGCAGCGCCTGTAAGGAGGCCATGACTCAATGTGATATTTTTCTCTGCTATCTTGACAGGTACCCAGACATCAACGTGACAGCCGGGACAGCGCTGCGCTTTGTGTGGCACAACACCGCGCATGGGGTGACTCAAATTCCCTCCAGGATCTGCCCCCTGGCCTTCAACACATCGGACATTGCCCAGCTGGCACCGGTGACTAACGGCGGCGACTTCACCACCCCACCGCTCACCCCTGGAGAGTACTTCTACGCCTGCCCTGTGGGTCACCTCCCCTTCTCATATTTCTTGCGCAAGCTTGACCGTTCCCTTTTTGAATGCATGGCCCCGGCTGGCAAAAGGTGGTAGAAATCCCGAGCACCGTGCGCAGGGTTGAATTGTCTGGCAAGTCCATGGAGTGTTAGGTTTGTGGCCCCCTTTATTTGCAGCTTGTCTGCGGACGCACCTTGCCTCTTAGCAGGGAAGGTCACCTTCCCTGCATCAGTATTACTACACGGTGTAGTGATACTGATGATGCATGGCCTCCCCTCTCACATGCATCAACCCAAAATTGGCAGTCTGTATCTGCATGCATGCAACACTGCTGCCTGTTAGAGGCTGTGAAGCAGCAGGTGACAGCTCCTGCAAGGGAAGAGTAGCTTGGCATTATCAGCTGGGTGGTCTTGCCAATGTTGAGTCTTTGTGTGGACCGTTGGTACATGGCAGGATAAAATATTCATGCCGCAGCAGATAAATGACGCATGGGAGCAGGAGGAGAAAAGAGAGCGCTCCATTCAAGGATGCATGTCAAGGTGGCACTGGTGACACTGCAGTGGTCATATCTTGACTCTGTGAGGAATGCAGTTGGGCACATAATAAGTAGGTCCAAAGGCTGAGAGATTGGCCGCATCGTACATGTTCCCTGACATTTGTGCTGTCACTGCGCAGGTGTTTGGCCACTGCCTGGGAGGCATGATGCAGCCGGTGCATGTTGCAGCGCAGCCTGCATCCCTAGGATGATTTCTAGCTTCGAGAGAACAGTGAACCTGTGCTTACACGCAGCACGGGTTCATGAAGAGCGCTGTGGGATCCGTAATGCTGTGGATGCTGTGTGTGAAGTCGTGCTGAGGGAGTTGCCATTTGACCCAGATTGACATATTGTGAGCAGATATAGGAGCGGTGCGGACTGTGAGCGCTTAAGCGGGATATTGTGTGCCCATTCCTATTCACTCCGCTGCTGCTACTAGCACGGATCTCAGATACAAATGCTCGGTCGACAAGAGGGATCCCGGTAGCCCTTCCTAGCCTTTCTTATCACTTTGCCAAGGATATTGACAACCTTGGGAGCCACTAGTGATTGCGCTGAAGTTAACCAAAGGACCCTTGAGACATCTCCTATACTCAGTAAACCATTGCCCTCCGCCTGTGATGGGTCCAAGGATCTCTCGACCCGAAAGTGCCCACCAAGCACAGTGCTACCCTGCATACATCAATACGGCGCAAATGCGTGCTGCTGCTCAAGCTACTCAGAATGCACATTCGCTTCCTTTCAAACAATCTTGTCACCACCAACCATTCAAATTTGAATTCAGATGTCTCACCTGCATGCATCGTGCCACGTCACCGTCCTAGGATCTTCCAACCTTGAAGCCAGCAACGTCTCCCTCAGAAACTGCCAATTATTCTGCTTTCAATCCCGCCTGCTTGTATATTTTCAAAACGTTTGTTTTTCACAGCAATGAGGACGTCATGCAGACTGTTCGCCGCTGGAGCTTTGGTCGTTCTTCTTGGAGGACATCTTACAGGAGCTCGACATCTCCAACAAGCGCCTGTGTACACCATCGATCCCTGGATCTCAGGAATATAGTTGAGAACCTTCTATCTCATTGCAAGCTTCCGATTGGTGCTGCATACCAACCTGACAGCAAAAGTCGGTTCTTTCAGCTTGAATTCAGTCGTGGAGCTTGAAGTGGTTGTTTCAACATGTTGTTGCTACGTTTTGCAGCTTAGAACTCATTTCCATGGCCAGATGATCCATCGTAGTAGACAAAGACTCCCCTGAAGGGCCACCCAGGGGGCTGAGCACCTGCGGTGTGCTTGCAGCTATCCAGATGTCAACGTGGGAGTGGGCACAGCGATAAAATTCGTGTGGCCTGGGCAGCACGGCGTGTACAGGATTCCCAGTGGCAGCTGCCCCCCACAGTATGCTCCAGGGGATGGATTTGAGGAGCTGGGCCCCATTCAGCTAGACGGAGGCATAGCCATCACCAAATCACTGGCTGCTGGAACCTACTGGTACAGCTGTCAGGTGAGGCTCTGAACACACCTCTTGCCAGGTCAGATCAGCTGAAGTCAATGCAAGCAGCAGAGTGCAAGATCCCCAGAGTCCTGGGTTGCAGCTTCTGCAGATCGGTAGTCTTCTACTGAAGTCCTGTCAAGAAACCCTGGGCCAGCACTAGAGGAGCACAGCGGGAAGGGGAAGTACGAAGGGTGCAGCAGAAGTGTAACAGCGGGTTTTTGTGTTGGTGCAGGTCCCAGGGCACTGTGATGATGGGCAGATTGTGAAAGTAACTGTGGCGTGAGAGACATGGCCGCTGCATTGAGCAGCGAGCTGCTAGCAGCGCTGCGGATCGGCAATTCTTTTCTTGTGTGGATAAGGAGCTGGTACTGATATTTTACTGAGAGAAATTCTTGTGTGATTCTTGACCCCTGGCCCAATACCCAGCTGGAGCTCACTGGGCACAGAGTGTATTCTTTATTGCCTGCACGAGGAAACAAGTACTTGGTGCGATGGCTGTGCAGAGGTTGAAGCTCTGTCCACTGTTCCAGCAAGCACAATTGGCAAACAAAGTATTGAATACTGCGAAGTTTTTTTAGGAGCTCAGAGGGCCGACTTGGGCGTTATACTCGATGCTAGACCACACGCTGCCAAAGGAGATTAAAAAAGTCCTGCCTGATCATCATGGATGCTTTCGATATCAAGTTGAATGGTATCCTTGCCTGGCAGACGTGTTGCCTGCAGCGGTGTCCCTCCTGCCTGCTAATTAAAAATTTTCAACGATTGAAGTTGCCAGGAAGTGTCGGCTTTGTTCACATGTGCTTCGTTGAGCATGGTTGCATGCCACCCTAAAGCATAATGTTCAGAGTCTCAAAATTGGGTGCAGTACGTTATATTCTCTGCAGAGTATCATGGCCTTTCTCATGTACAAGAAGTTCTTTGGAGTGCATGCAGGATCCATGGTGTGTGCAGACAGACCAGTCTGAGAGCCTTTCTCCTAGGAAGTCTGAGGGTGCATGCGCATAATGATTCTGTCCAGATGAAAAGAAAAACTTCTTCTCTGCCAGGGACCACTGGTCGTGAAGCGTTTCATAAAGCGTGAACCTACACGGCAGAATGAGGAACTAATTATGTCGAGAGTGCTCAAAATTCTGCCTCGTGAGTCAAAGTTGCAGCTTTGAATTTTGGTGGAGCATGTGCAAAGCATAGCATTTTGACACGTGGTGCACAGCTGGCCGTTCCTTTTCAGATTCAAATCTTGGGTGAGCCAATGCTGAAGGCCGTAATTCCAGAAAGTTCAAGACGCTGCAGACTTCGCAAGAACAGACCAAGTCGCAATTATGAACATGTCGAACAGTCTTATTGCAGCTGTGCTCTGCTTGTCCGTCGGCCTGTCCTTTGAACGCGAGCTGCAGGCGTCACCCTCGACCATCTACACGATTGATCCCTGGGGAGACGAGATGAAGTGAGTTCTTCTTATCCGTAGAAACCTGACTTAGAACCTTTCGCAGGACGTCCCAAGAACGTCGTTGACAGCTGCTCGCACGAAACTCGAATATTCTGGTACAGCGGATTACCAGAATCCCGGTGATGTAGGACATCCGCTAGCTACGCAAAACGGAAGCCCAAGGCTGCACATGTGTCCAAAGTTTCACGCTTATCTCTGCTTGTGCATCCTACACTTCATACTTCACCCTCTGCTCTCCATTCACATCACCCTGAGCAACACAGCATGACTCATGCTTACAATCATCACTGGCCGGCTGCGCACAAACTGCATTTGTTCCTGCAGGTACCCCGATGTGAAGCTGCCGGTGAACGGAGCAGTGCAGTTCAAGTGGTCTGAGTTCCACGGCGTGTACCGCATTCCCATTTCCACATGCCCTGGCGCATTCACCCCCGGCAATGGCATTGTGGCTCTGGCACCTGCCAGCAGCAGTGGCAGCTTCACCACACCTCCCCTGGCTGCTGGCACCTACTGGTACACCTGCCCGGTGCGCAACCATTCCCTAGAAGCTAGAAATTGCTTGGTGCATTCCAGACTAAGCGACAAGAGAATGCAGACAACCTAGACGAAGCGAGCGCCAAGATAGCGAGGAAGGGCTTGCAGGTGTAACAGAGTGCATCAATAATACAAGTTCCAGATTTTTAACGGCTGTGCGTGATAAACCCCTCAAGACTGTTTTCTAACAGGTGTTGGGGCGCTGCTCACCGATTGATAGGCAGGAAAAATACGCATGCGTCCTGCATGTGAATTCTTTCCCTCAGTAAGGGGCAGCAGGTGAAGAATAGATGGATGCACTGGCCTGGCCATTTGGGAATGGTTGCCTAAGTACAAGGTGCTTGCTGCATGCAGGTGCCCAAGCACTGCCAGGCTGGCCAGATTGTCAAGGTGATTGTCGGCTAAAACTTGATGTCGCCAGTGGTGCATACAACCAATGTCTGCCGATACAGAATGATGCATCAGCACGGAGTTTTCTGCAGAGGGCAGGCAATGATTGGACAACCGTGCTATCAAAAACGAGTGCATTTAGGGCCCGATTGCATGCTGGACTTTGAGCCAGGCACTTTGCAAACATTTGTACAATAATTTAGCTCAGGCAGGACAGTGTTTGGAGAAATGTGCGTCACTACTGCATGTTCTGCAAATGAGAACTGCTCATCATGGGTTTATATTGGGGTGAATTGCCAGGAACGAGCTATGGAACGGTGTGGCGAGTAGGTTGCAAACTGCATGCTCCGTGTCTATGGGATAATCGTGCTACAAGAGGTTTAGTTGTTACAGTACTATACAATAGGGTTGCACTGCAAACTTCTAGGACCAGTTTGCTCCTCATGACAGGATCTCAGAGGCTTTAGAATTAAGCATGCTGTAGCAGAACTGATGCGGCAGGCCAATGCATCCTCACCAATGCTATATGCCTTATATCTTTTGTTCCTTATTAGACCAAAGTCGACTCGGAATCTTCAGCAATCATGTTGATTAGGGAAAGGAGTATAAGTATTTAATGATCGTAATGATGCTCTCCTCATTGCATAATGCATGCAGACACGTGACAGAAACACCTCATAATCATTGGACGAGTCCCCCGTGGCACTTTTGGCCCAGATTGGCATTACAAATACTGCTGAACTTCCTTGAAACGTGGAAATACGCACACTCGACGTCAGAGACAAAGCTAATACGACTGCTCAGGGTCTTACCAAGCATGAAGGTAGTCGCTCGATTTCTTGTCGCGTGCTTGGCGGTCCTTTGCATCCGCTGCGTTGTGGGACGCGAGCTCCTGCAAACCACGAGCGTGATCGACCCCTGGGTGCCTGGCCAGACGTGCGATATCCCTCTTGAAAGATTGACACGGCGTGTGAGCTTTTACGAAGGTCACTCGTATCTGTGTTCTTCTTGTCACTGTACCTGTTCTGGTACACTGCTTCAGTTGTCCTATCTAGGGATTAGTTGCTTCTACGTCACTTTCTGGGAAAGGAACTCCTAAGTCGGCAAAATCGCCACTCCAACTCGGTCCATGCTTTCGACAGGGCACCCAGAACGCCAAAAAGCCCCCAGGGGAAAGCAGGAGATGAGGATTGTGCCTTGATTTTCCTTGCCTCCTTCTGAGACTCAATACTCTCACAGATGATCTGCAAAGCATCCATCTGCCCCTAGGCCCAACCAACTCCTCTCAAGCTGATCTTTCAAATTCTGAGCTTGCAGGTACCCTGACATCAGCTTGGCATCAGGAGGAGCGGTCACCTTCAAGTGGCCTGGGTCTCATGGCGTCTACAAAATTCCCAGCGGCACTTGTCCTGATACCTTTGCCCCCGGCAATGGCTTAGTGGAGCTAGCACCTGTCAGCCGCGGTGGCACCTTCACCACTCCCGCCCTTGCCCCTGGCACCTACTGGTATGCCTGCCAGGTAAGCTTCCCCATAACTTTTAGACCCCGAGCCCTCATTGCTTGGCAACGTTGTTTGGCAGCTTCTGGGGTCCTTTGCACAGAGTTTGCGGGTGCAGTGTGAGAAGTCTTTCCCGTCCAGTCTGAGGTAATCCTAGATGACATCTCATGGCTGGCACCTAATGGTGGCCAGCACAACCGGTGCTGCTTAGTGCCATGATTGTATCCACAGCATGCCTGATCTTGAAGAAGATTTAGTAGCTGCCTCTGCAGACCGCTGTTGAAACTTTTGGCTTTCTCCATTACGGGACAGGATGATCCTGATGGTTGTGTCTGTTTTGCCAGTACAGCTTCTGGATCACACCATCATTTGCCAGGTCCTTCTTTCAGTCACTGGTACCAGTACAAAGGCGATGCTGAGCTTCACGTGTCCTCTGCAGGTGCCCGGGCACTGCTCAGAGGGACAAATTGTGAAGGTGGTCGTGGCTTGAAAGGTGGCATGCACTTGTTGAGAAGTTAATATCAATATGACTTATGCGCAGTATTTACTTTTCAAGAGTAAGTACATTATATCTAACTTAGCTGTCAAATGCCAATGCGCTGTGTTTCCGAGCAGAGCACTGCCTGATCGCATGCTAATGAGGACACACCTTACAGTGAGGTTCAATACTCTTCTGCATGCACTTGAATGGAGCTGCCCACATGAGGTGCTTGTGCAAAACCCGCAGCACTTCAGGTAGTATTAATGTGTGTCGTTTTTTAGTGAACCTCCGCCATGAGCTGGACCGCAGTGATGTGCAGTCTAGATACTCGCGTTTATAGTGCAGGATCGAGCAAAGGATGGACAGACTGTATCTCTTGACTTGACAGACTCCAGATTTTCATTATCTGCTCTGAGACTTGTAATAAGGAATTTTTACAAGCTCTGAGCGCCCCTGCCAATGGCTTAATGCATTCACCCTCTGGCATTCAGCCGACATGAGAATCTGAGTCAAGAACCCAAATTTAAGACAGATGCCTTTCAAGTAGTATTTGCATTGCTTGTCTACTGCCTCGTCGTCTTGCGTTCACTCTTGACTTAATTTGCATTGCATGCCAGAACCTGTGTTGGAAGCTGCAGATGAAGCTGAGGGTGCCATGCAAAGGTGGGGCATCCAAGGACGCGGATATGGAATCTGCCGTACTACATTTCAGACCTTTACGACACTCATCTCGTGACCAGCATATCTCAAATATCAAGCTTGCGATCAAGAAATTGGCACTCATGAAGACCTGGTGCGTCACAGCTGTGTTGCTGCTGTGCGTCGGCATCTCCGTCGGACGGCAGCTTCAGCAGGGCTCCACTCCGAGCTCAGGAGGCAACACAGCCACCGCCCAAGCCACAGCAACAGCAACCGCATCAGTTGGCGGCGGCCAGATCTATGCCATCGATCCCTGGTCTCTTGGGAAAAGGTGCGTGCTTCAATAAGCTTGAGCTTGATATTGCCTTGTCCGCAACCCTCTCCTGTACCATATCTGGTACGAGGTTTCACGTGTGATCACTCCCCAGCTGTCTTTCTCCTCTTTATTCCTCTTCGAAAAGCGTCACTTCTGTTGGGGTAAGGTCTTCTGAGAAGATTTATGCTGACGTGAGAAGGCACCCCACCCAAACCTCAGACCTATTGCCTACAATTAACCAATGGACTGCATCCAGGCCACAGCTCTCACACATGATACCTTTTCCACATATTACCCAGCGCAGGCTGCCAGGCGACTCACCAGTGACCAGTTTCAGGGAGTATTTATGCATCAAAGCACAACTGGTTCAAGCAACAATAATTTTTCCTGTGGTGTGCAGCTATGCGCCGCTGACTGTGGCTGCAAGTTCGCGCATCCGCTTCAACTGGAACAGCCGCCACGGAGTTTACAGAATTCCTAGCGGCAGCTGCCCCTCGAGTTTCTCTCCTGGAAACGGCATCATTGCCCTTGCACCAGCTTCCAATGGAGGCAGCTTCACAACTCCCCCGCTGTCTCCCGGTGTCTACTGGTATGCATGCCCGGTGAGTGCTCCCCTCCTTGCTTGCCTGATTCGGTTTCAGAGCAGCAGCAGAAAAAGATCAGCACCGGCACCTATTCAGGAGTAGACTTTCAATGTTGCTCAGTGGCAGCTCGTCTGCGAATTGCCCTTGCAAGTTGCAAAGCTTTTGGGAAGCCACAGATGCGTGCAAGTTGACAGCGCGCTGCTGAAAACTGAGCAATGAAGTCTCCAAAGCTGGCCCGTGGGAAAGACATCAAATGAAGGAAACAAAAAAGTTCGTCATATATGGATTCAGTAACGCCTTCAAGCTGTTGAGTCAGGCCCCAGGTGGCCTAATCAAACGGCTTGCATTGCCTTGCGTCGCAAATTTGGCACACATGTTGATGCACCGTTTTCAGCCTGGTGTGGCACGCCATGCTAGGGCCTCGCCATTGATTGCACCAGAAATCTGAGACCTTCTGAGACCTCATTTTGCGCTGCAGGTTCCCACTCACTGCCCCTCCGGCATGATTTTCAAGGTGACCGTGGTGTGAGGAACAGAAAGGAAAGAGAAAAGCAGTTTCGAGGAGGCGCAAACAGAGATACATGCAGATTGGGACACGATATAACTTTGACATGCTAACAGGATTCAGTGCGTTGCCCTCCAAAGAGTGGTCAGGCGCGGCAGAAGTGCATACCGGTTTACATGTGGCACGCATGCCTACTGAAAAGAGGCTTGCAGTATCCATCGCAGTACATTCACTAGGTTTGCAGGGTGGTCTTCTAGCCGTCTCATAGCTGTTTGACTGGCTTGGCATGCTGCCTTGTTGCAGTAGACTTGAGATTTGCCCTAAAGGGCCATTTGCTGCAGTCCTTTACTCTGACTGTCTTGTGATAAGGTGCTAAGATCACATCAGCAGCCCATGCAACAAGCTGTGCGGCTTCCTTGGAACTTGAAGTCAGTCCTTTTTCAGCGGGTTTCCAGTACAGTAAGTAATCATGTGCCAGCATAGGCAAGTATAAAATGCAGACGTGGCAAGAAATGATTCTGTACATTGAAGTCCTGGAATGACGAGAGTCCTGACATTGCGGGGTCTGGTGATAAAGTGTGCTCGTTGCGGGTGCTAGGTACATAAGTGTAGCAAATTTGAATGCCAAACCATTTCTTAAATGACTTAGACCAGGAGTTCGGTCACTTTCCAGGATCTTGTGCGATTCAGTAGTCTGCAGAAAGTCTCCTCCTCGGGTCAGCTGCAAAGCAGCAGTGCATATATGTCACGTGGCATAGCTTTTGGAGTGCGATTGGAAATAATTTCCACATGCTAACACACACTGAGCTGTTTATAAACCCATGCAATGCACGTGACATTCCAAAAGTACTCATTGACGTGGAGTCCAAGGAAATCTTGGCGTGAATCTTGTGACAAATGCCCGGCTATCTTGTGAATTCTCAAGTTAAGAAGGTCAATCCTGACGAAAAATGGCAGCAATGAAGACGGCCTGCTTCTGTGCTGTGGCGCTTCTTCTCTTGACCGTCGGCGCATCCGCCGGACGGGAGCTACAGCAGACCACTTCGAAAGGCAATCCCGAGCACGTCATCGATCCCTGGGCCCCCAATATAAAGTGAGTTTATTCCGCCGCATCAATCAATGCCTCGGCGATGTATTGGTCAGGGCCCTTCACGTGCAGTGACCATCTGGTACTGCAGTGTACCAGATCCCGACAGCTGCTGCGACAACTCTCCAAGATAGAAACAGTGTCCTCGACGAGGGAGCTTGCTACTTTTCTCTAAGGGATTATCAAGCATCTAGAAGATGCCTCTCACCCTGCCGTTGTCAACGATGATTAATCTCCGTTCTCCGTGCGTTCTCCATCGCCCAGCTTCGCAACAGCTGGCCGGCGTTTAGTCAACAGTCATATAAACTTACAGACGCTGATCAATGTGATGTGATTATTCAGATCGTTTCGTGGACTCCTGAGCTAGTCACCTGTATTTAGGCACTTCAAACTTCTGACCGTGCTGCATCTTGCACCGAATGCAGGTACCCTCCAGTGACGGTGGCGCCTGGCACAGTCATCACATTCAAGTGGAGGTTCCCGAATGGAGTAGACAGGGTCCCAAGCGGCCAGTGCCCCTCAGACTTCACCCCGAGCCCCAGCAATGGCATTGTTGTGCTGGCACCTGTCAGTGATGGAGGAACTTTCTCTACTCCTCCCCTTGACCCCGGGGTCCACTGGTTTGCCTGCCCAGTAAGCCCTCTGCACCTTCCTGCAATAATCTAAACTTCAACAAGCATAGCTGCAACCATTGAATCTTGAAACTTTACAATGGCTTCAGCCGTGGCACCAGTTGCAAAATCCACAATGCAAGCAAGAGCATGTCTGCTCCTTTTGAGAGCCCCCCACATGGGACAATAAGATGAGCATGCCTGCGATCTCTTGCATGGTTTGCAAGATTGTTTCAGGCCGCAAACGGTACTGACTTTGCTGAATTGGTGATTCAAGTGCGGGGCTGTGCGCTGTTCACCAAGTGGGCTTTTCCTGAGGGTGCAGTGCTGACGGTGTGTCATGTGGTGAGCAGGTGCCCGGCCACTGCCCCTCTGGCATGATCATCCAGATCACTGCAGGGCCATTGACAGCCGGCTGAGCCCCTGTTGAACAAAGCAAGATTTTGCCAGAGAGACAACAAGAAGACAGCACGCGGTGGGAGGCTGCTGCTACGAGCAATGCAAGCCGTTAGAGGCTGGCAGCGCATGTAAACCACTTCATGCAGCTGAAGAACGGCTCATTTATAGCTTGAAGACGTGATCCAGTTGAGGACTGATATCAGGGAGTGGCAGTGACGAGAGATGCTTCTTGTGCGGCCTGTTGATTGCAGGAGCACTTTTCACACCGGGGCTCATGCTGGAGAATGAAAACTTGCCTGCTTTCCTGGTAAAGGTCCAACATGTGTCGGAGATTGCACTCTGTTCAACAGCTGCAATAGCGCTGTGCTGTGGTGTGCATGTAGATTTTTGCTTTGTCTGCGCAAAGGGTTCAAGTGCGTGATGCTTTAAGGCATCAGATCCAGGCAGTCTTTCTACTGATACCTGTTTGCCCAAGTGTAATCACCAGTGTAATTACATGCGATGTGACATAAACAAAAGTTCAAAAGCGGGCAAAACCCCAGTCCTGTCCCAGAAAGGCAAGCCCTTTGCCTGCGTTTTGCTTAGCCAGTATTGTACACCAGATGGATGCATTGTAGACACAAGAATAGTAAAATATATGCTGCGCAATATATGACAGCTGAAGCTCATGCGCAAAGACCCACTAGCAGAAGCACGCAGATTGCAGCATCATGCGAAACATTGCAAGCCTACACAGACAAAGTATATTTCACTCTGCAGAGACGCGCCCTCTGGCAGCCTAAGACATTTTGTCACTTCTTGACTGCAGTCCACAGTAACGCAGCGAACAGAACAGCAGAGCAGAAAATCCACATGCGTTGTCCAATAAGACCGAAGTGGCCCACCCCATCAGTACCTCACCTCTCATCTACCCATGCAGCAATGCACAGATTCAAAGACAACCCCGTACTTCACCCTTGCGTGAAAATGCGCGCACACTTTCCCTGAAAGTTTCTGACGTCCAGTTTATTGAAAGTGCTTCAATACTTCCTGGTCATTTCCTGGTTTATGCCCAGCCTTCAGACCACCCCAGGATTTCCTCAGGAAGAGTCCCAAAGTGCCAGCACGTCGCATCCACTTCAACAGTCACAACGATGATAGCAGCAGCAATGTTGAGTGCTTATGTGTTCTTGGATGTGACAAACCCAGGGCTGGTTTGAGCAAGTCAGTTTGACGCCCGTGTTACTGCCTCGACAAGGCCACTCTTAAGAGGAACTGCCTGACAGAATGTCATAGGAGACGGCTGGCATCTTGATGAGGGGCCGCACTGCTGACTCCAGGACGCTGCCAGCATACAGAAGGCTGGCCTCGCTCCAGGGACGACCCATCAGCTGCAGCCCAATCGGCATCCCTGCGCGCACGGATACATGCGTTACCAAACGCCTGCGCTGCTTCCTGGATACTGGCTTGGAAGCGGTTTGCGCCGCAGTGGTTCGCAAGGCGACATAGCCGCTGACACAGAGGTGAAAGCCCCTCTGCACATGCTGCCTACGGATTCATTTCAAGCAATCAAGCTTGCATGTGTTCGGCCACCGGCAATAACTGCAACACAATTTCATCGCCCACACCGCTTAAATTCTGCCAGGACCAGAGCCAGTGAGCTCTGAGTGTTGAAGAGATCGTTCTGTTCTCAGATAGAGACCGCAGATCAAGAAATGGTCAGAGTCTAGGTTAAATTCCCCTGGCAGGGGCGCGCACCGGAGGGGGACTGGCCGACGGGGATGGAGAGTGCGGGGATGCCGGCCATGTTGGCTGAAATGGTGAAGCGCATGAGCTCCCCAGTCTGCACCAGGTCGCTCTCGCCATCCGTCAGCGCCTGCGGGCTGCGCAGCGGCAGGTCAAGCGTGATATTCAAATTCAGAGTCAAATTTCAGCGGCATGCATGCAGGGAGGTCCCTGGCGCGTCGCTGGCTGTGAATGACACGGGAGTGGCATCCACTGCAACTTTGCGGTCCTATTTTCTACATATAGCCGATCATGGAGGGAAAATCAATGGCGCCGCAAGCCGGCTCCGGCGCACGAGCCGCCGTGCCGGCAGCCGCTGCCGCCCCCTCCAGCGGCCGGCACGGTGCAGCGGGGTCGATCACTAAAAAAGCACGTGCAGGAGAGTCATATGTGAGAGCGGTACGGAAAATTATGTTCCTGCAGCCGCATTGCCACATGAAAGGCAAAAATCCCGGCGGAGCTTCTGGTGTCAAAAGGGAGAGGATTAAGGCGCGCAGGACAGGAATGGAGGGCGCACTCTATAAGGGGGGCGGTTGTGCCGGTGGTGGGAGTGGCCACATAATCAATCCCCTGCTGGAAGAAGAGGCGCCGGTAGTGCGTCATGATGCGCGTGCGGATCTCCTGAGCCTGTACAGCACGACACCCTGCCTCTAAGACCAAAGATTACCATGCATTTACCCGCATCCCCTTGTTGATGTGTGCTCTTGAGGCCTGTGATGATGGGGCAGCAGTCACATCTGAAACATGTGCTGCAGAAAGTTGCCGGCCTGCTCATTGCTTCAGCTCATACAGTGCCAGCATTGGCTTCCACTCGCCGCACAGCGCTTGAAAACATGTTACTCGACCACAAAGAAGCTCTCCTCATCAAAGCTACCACACCCACTACGACACAGCTACCAGAACCTCACTAATCGCAAGCAAGCATGCATCAACGCACCAATGACTTGTCGAGCCGGGTGAAGATTGGGTACAGTAAAGAGGCACCTCATTCCCGAAAAAGCACAAACCAAGAATTCAAAAGCTTGAACAAATAAACCCCGCATGCACCTGATAATGTGAAAGCCGTGCTCGGCCGCACTCAGCTATCCAGAATACGCTGGCACCTCCGAGGAACATTAAAATGCCGGCATTTGCATGTGCACAGCAGGGACAGGGCAGGGCAAGCAAGGATAATGCGCGCCTGGAGGTAGTCAGTGGCTGAGAATCGCGCGGCTGCCATGAGGCTGAAGCGCGTCTCGCGGTTGAGTGCACGCTTGAGGGCGGGGTCGGCTGTGGCCCACTTGTAGGCCTGCGCCAGCTCGCTGCTGATGGTCAGGATCTGCGCCACGCGCACCTGCTCCAGCTCCGGCACGCACACCGGCACCACCTGCGCGCATGTGCGCCCTTCATCACTCCCTTTACTTTTCCTTCTGTGCGCAGATGTACGGTTCAGCCTCAGAGCATGATTTAAATGTCTTCTGACATCCAATCATGCTCGACACAATGTAGCGGTGGCTGAGATGTGGTGATCAGCAAAGTGTGCACGCCGCATGAACATGGATGCTCTGCACGCTCATAGAGCTTCCCTCACTTGCTGTACCCATGCTATGTCTCTTAGGGATAGGGAACTTGGCTAGCCGCTATCGTCTGGCATCAAGGTATTTTCACACAAATTTTGAACCCTCTTTATTCCTGCTGTGCTCTCCTGAAAGCAGCCCAGCGCATCTTCTCCCTGCAAAATTCTCGAATAACGACTGCCTCAAGTTGAGCACAGAGCCAGGATCGTTTTCCACATTCCCCTGCACACAAAATGGGAGAGAACGTGTCCCCGCATTCAAGCATGACAGCTGCGCACCTCGCAGCCATGCTCCTCCAGCAGGCCGAGCGCGTGGCGGCAGGCGGCGACGACCTCCGGGTGCGCGTCCTCGAACAGGCGCCAGTAGACACCCACGCGGCGCCCCTTGAGCGGCATCACCAGCTCAGCCGCAGCCGGCGTGTCGTCAAAGAGCTGCGCCGGAACCGCCGTCGGGGCCGGCGGAGCCGCCACGTCCTGCCGGCCTGCGCACAAGCCGTGGTGCGGATACAGTCAATGATTTTCAAGGCTGCACAGGTCACAATCATGGATTTTGCAGTGGCCTGGGGAGTACAGAATACCATACTCAATGTGGCTCTGAATCCCCGGGAAGCATGCAGGCTCTTACACTCTGACAGTGAATAGACCATGATCACAAATGGGTTTTACTCACGATCATGACAGCCAAGCGATAGACATGATCCAGAGGGAAGTTTGTGCACTATCACCCTCTGCGTAAGATGTTGTCAAAATCGTTGCGTCTCAAACAAGAGAGGACTTTTGAGGACATCCTTGCATGTATTCGCTCACCTGCGTTGGAGATGACAGCGTGCACGAGGGCGGCGTCAGCCATGGAGGCGGTGTGGGCGCCAAAGCTCATAATGGAGAAGGCGTTCTCAGGACAATTAGCGGTCGATGTGCGCCCCACCGTCGGCCGCAGTCCCACAACTCCGCACAGTGCCGATGGGACCCGCACAGAGCCGCCGCCGTCGATGCCTGCACCACAGCATTTGTGCACACCTCAGAAACTTTTGCGCACTTTAGAGTCTGAAACTGGTGAGCAGTTCCTCCGCTTGCTGCTTTGGCCCCACCGAGTTTTTAAGCATGTCCTTGGGAATGAGGAAGCAGATGAGACATGCAAGGTGCACAGCAGTGTTTACTTTGGCGAGGCAATCGGGAGTACAATGAGAGAAATCCGCACTGCGGCTTTCCAGATGCACACAAACTACATCCTCTCTGCATGACAACCAGCTTGGTCCAAGCCCTAAATCTTTCATAGAAGAGTTTGTGGCTCAAGCTGAAAAACGGAGATGAGATGTCGCTTGTGTGCGAGACCCAATCAGAAAAGGCAATTCTCCCCCCAGACTGTTCAAAAATGATGCAGGTGTGTCGCACCGAGCGCGAACGCGCAGAGGCCGGCTGAGACGGCAGCGGCGGCACCAGAGGAGGATCCCCCGGTGTAGGCAGCGGTGTTGTAGGGGTTGCGAGTGGTGCCGTGCACTGTGTTCAGGCCCGTCATGCCCACGCCGATCTCATGCAGGTTGGCCTTGCCTATCAGCAGCGCGCCGGCCGCTCGTAGTTCTGCTATGCACGGCGCGTCGGCCGACACCCGTCTCCGCTTGTGCAGCTGCGGCGGCAGAAAAATTAAAAAAAATTAAGAAAATCAAGAAAAAATTGGCCATCTTTATTCGAGACATGTAGGGCATTGTGGACTGGGCTTCTCAGCTCAGCAAGAAGCCCTCACAATGTAAAGTGGTCTCAGCTTGATAACAGTTGGAGCTCAATGAACATGTGGTATCCACATTGTTCATTCACAGACACCATTGCGACGTCGGGGATCCTGACCTGCCATGACCACATGTCCTGGTAGGAATGCTTATCAAGGTATTTCAATATGCTAAGGGATCAAGAAGGTACACTGGCATGGGAGAGGGAGCGCACAAATGAAGTGCCTGCTGTTGTGGGGTATGGCAGTGCATCCATGCCATCGATGACTGCGTAAGGAACGCCATCCAAGAGAGACAGCGGCCTCCCGTGCTTGTACCTGCACCATTTCCACAGATCTTATTCACGGCACCGACAAGACACAAAAATTGCAGGTGCATGCAGGCGTTCACTGCGCAAAACAGACAGAGGAAACATACTTGCAAAGAAAAACCGTGCCCCACCGGCAGTGCAAGGACCAAAACTATTCAGAGAAGCATGTCAATCTGGGCAACATTACTGAGACAGCAGAGCACGTGGAGCCACAATTAAATAGTAGCTTGCCTCTGCGTGGACTCTGCAGCGTTTCTGCGCAGGTCACAGGCGTCGCAGGAGATGAGATAGCGCATCGGCGGCTGCGCGCGCTCCGAGTCATCCACAAATTGCAGCACTCTCTCTGCTACCTCAGATGGTGTGGTTGTCCCCGCCGCATATGCCTGCGCAAAATCACCGATGGTCCATCGCCGCACTGGCAGCCTGCCTCCTAGTCGCCCCTTCATGTCCGCCTTGAAACCTGCAGGGAGGCAAGAATATCATTATTGCCATTTTACAAGCTACCCTTCTGCAAATCTTGACATGCACAGCGCTTGCTGAACTTTAGGGCATGACATGGGAAGGGAGCAGAGAGGGTCCCTGCATAATGTGCGATGTTTTACATGTAAGAAGAGCATAGAGATGGCATGCATGGAGTTTCTCATGCATCCTTTTAGAAGTTCATTACGCAACGATGGCAAAAGATAGCAGGATTGGCCGCTGAGGCAATCAGTTGGTGTCATGAGTCAGACCTGGGATGCCCTGGGCTGTCAGTGTCAGGCGCTCCGCCACAGGCTTGCCTTCCACGCAGACCTCCTCTTTGTCTATTGTCTCAGGCAGCGGCCATATGGGCTGGAAGGTAGCCGGCTCTGGCATGTCCAATTCGCGCACTGCCTGAGGAATGCCGCTCTTGCGGAAATTGAAGTCCCACAGGGGCCCAGCCAGGGGGCAATCCATGATCTCCACTGCCAGCTTGAAGAACCAGCCTGTCATCCTGGGCGCCCTGCAACAAATCACAGGTTCCACTGGTGTCTCAGGAGAATTGTTGGAGAGACTCATTAGAAGCTTCCTAGATGGGCAATTAGACGAGAGCCAGACTGCTAATGCTGCCTGCGCTTGGTGAGTACTGGTCTTCATATCTGAGATCCTTCGTGTGAAATGAAGGTCACAGATGTTTACAGTCGCTAACATGCTCAGAGGAAACATTTTCGAGTACCTGATGGAGCGAAGCTCATAGGGGGCTTCCTCAACTTCCTCAGCAGGTGGCAGGCTGCGCCTGCTTGGCTGCTGCCCCATGCCTCGACCACTAAATTGCTAGACCTGATGAAAATACATGCCAATGGTGACTTACTGGCGTCGGAAGTGTCAGCTGACAGGAGGAAGTCAGCTGGCATAGCTTGGGATGGCCAGAAGCAGCAACCCCTCTCCAAAGACAACATGCATTCAATAATGTACGGGACATTGAAAACAGTTTCACTAACGTGCAACAGCATGTGCAAACATGTCCGTTGTCTCAAATACATTTCTTTGCACGTCTTGCATCTTGTTTCCTTGGTGCCCAATAGGAATATGTGCTGTTACTGTGCGAAACTCACCTCGTGTTTGATCAGAATGTGAAATTTTCTATGTAGTAATTTTGCAAGACCACCACCTGAAGAGTTGCTAGCCTGTCAGATACCAGAACGGATGTCCAACTTTACAGGAATTGCTTTCTCAGAAAACCAAGAAACAGAGACCAGAGAATTCACAATTGTGTAATTAAACTGATCAAAGTGCCAGTGTTACGATGAGCAAGGTTTCGTTTGCGCTGTACACTACTTGTGTGTAACATAAGCCATTTGCCCCGCAGTACGAGGAGAGGGCTGACTGATTCGGTCACATAACCGGAGAGCCATATCGGGGGAACCTTGGAAAATCGTTGCAGATGCTTCGGGGACGAGAGCTGCATCGTCCGCGAGATTTGATATTACCATATCAATTCCTGATCTTGTCGTTTGTGTCGAAGTCTATTATGACCGCGATCAATCCTTCCAGTGTTGCTGCCGCTCCAAGATTGGGTTTCTGCCGTGATTTAAATGGTGCTCTCAATGCATGGGACGCGGTGAAAACTTTCTTGGATCAAGTGAGCAGAAAGGAGGCAGATGCAAATGGTCTGACGAAATCTGCATGCCCACACCCAAGAGTCTGAGGGTCCACAACGGTCTCATTAACGGCCTGGAATAAATCTCGGCGTGCCTTACCTGACATCAAGCATCATCAAAATTTCCTCGATCGCAATGTCTCGGTACCAGTGCTAGTAGGAAGAGGCGATTGGCGCATCCTTGGACGTTGTTCGGGGTGCTCCGGCTCGCAGTGAATGATCGCAGCGCTGATCAGGTGCGGTGTATGGGATTGCTTTTCCGTCGAAGCCCAAGTGATCGCGCTTGCAAGCTCATCCTCTGCTTGATCAATCGGTGATTCCCCTCGTCGCTGCTCTTGGATCAAATTTTACTCGTCCCACCCCGACAGTGCACGAGTCGACGTTCGCAAGCCAAGCGCTGCAGCTCTGATTTATCTGTGACGTTCAATGCAGGTCTGCAGGGTCAGCATGACGGGTCAGAGGAGCAAGCTCTTTGCTGCCTCGCTCAGAGGGTTTCTTGGAGCTATCGTCCTGCTGCAAGTCAAGCAGGCTGCAGCTCTGAGCGCTCTCAGTGATTGGTACAATGGGACTGCCACATACTACGGGGGCCCTGCCGATAACATGGACCCCTACAGTCCCTCCTATGGCACCAAGGAGGTATTCTGCTCTTCCACTGCAGGGCAATCTGCTCCTGGGCGCTGCCTTTTAAGTCAAGCCAAGAGCTTTGACTTGCATTACTTTGCTCTTTATATGCAGATCTAGCAAGCCATAACTGCTTGCAGGCAGTTTCTCCTCTGCTGGCAATAAAAATCCTCAATCATTCGAGGCACAACGGTGCTTCAAATAGGAGATCCTGCAATCTATGTTGCATGCGGCAAGGTTGCGTCAATCTTACTCAACGGGTCAAGCCACCGTATGTGCATGCAGGGCGCCTGCGGGTATTACTTGATGGACAAGACAAAGTGGCCATACTGGTCGGTTGGTGCCCTCACCCCCTCCAATCTCTTTGTGAAGCAGGGCCCAGCCCAAGCCTGCGGGTGAGTTTCCCATACCTGTTGATAATGTACAACAAAAATCAGGACCCAGCAAGAGCGGCTAAATTTATTTTCAGCTAATTCTGTTTGCTGTCATATGTATCGTTGATCAAGTTCAGAATGTGCCAAATGCATGTGAGCGTTTGAATGGAAACTCTGTGCTGCTTGCAGGGCGTGCTTTGAGATTTGGTGCCAGCCAGGGAGCCTTGTGAGTTCTCACATGCTTTTATCATGACCGATCAGTCAACAGAGCAATCACAATCATGCTTTGCATACAACCTGTCCCTTGCCCCTAGAGCCTACAAACTCGGAACTGCTCTTTACACCCGGTCCTTGTAACTCAACCCAAGGTGGATTTTTTGCCTTAATCAAGTCCCTGGCCATTATGCAAACCCATTTGCAGGTGGGCGAATGCAATCCAAATCCGAACCAGCGGCGGGTGACCATTATGATGACCGACATCTGCGAGCCCTGCAACCCAGGCGGCGACAGCCAGATCGATCTCCAGGCCCTCACCTTCCTCAAGGTGATTCCCATCTGCATGAGGGAATTATTATTATTATTACACGCCTTGCCAATCCATGAGGATCAGGTGCGTAGGCATTCATGTCCAACAAACCTAGCCACTCAACAGACACTGCAATTCTAATCAATGCATTCACCTGAAAGAAGCCTTACATGCAGACAAAGACAGCAGGCCCTACAGGCCGGGCAACACGTCTGGCCAGGTCAGAAGTCTGATTGCTGTCCTGCGCTGGTGCAGATTGCACCGTGGTATGGCGGCAGGATAAACATCAGGTACCGGAGGGTCGACTGCAGTCCCCCCAGCAGCATCAAGCTCCAGCTGCTCAACGTCAACGGCGACGGCCAGTGGCTGCGCATGACCGTCCAGGTCAGCTTCCCCCTTGCTATTATTGACTCTCCTGACCCACCCATGAGCCTGCACTGGCCCTTGACATCACCTGGAGGGCGGCATACAAGGCAATGGCAGATATGCCTCCAATCGTGCGCAGCTTTGGTCGCGCATGCATGCAAGGCAGGGAAAAATCACGAGACAGCAAATCCACCCCATCTGCTTCTGATCAAGTGATCCTTCCCGTCGCATGCAGTGCTGATCGGTGCACTGGTTGCTGCAGCTCCTGCTGCATCTCTCATCGCAGCCAGCCAACTGGATTCATCCTAACAAATCCCGCGTAGATACTCGTGACAATCGCCTAGCACCAGATTTGCACACAACAAGACACGACTCCTATATTCAGCAGCTGCAGTAACAATAACATAGTTCAAGAAGGAAGTTTATGCTTGTGATACCTAGATTCTCGAGCCATGTAATTCTGCAGGCAACAAAGACATCCAACACACGTGTCCGTGATCTGTGCAAGAAATGTCGTCTGCAGTTGAAAAGTGGACTGAGAGATTACCTGCTGTTGGACTCACTGCAGAAGTTGACGCCTAAAGCTGCAGAAAAACGCCAGAAATCACTTTTCTGATTTCTGCAGGAAGTTGCAGGCACGGGCAGCGTGGCTCACGTAGAGGTGAAGGGGCAAAAGGGAGATAGCTGGGTGGGCCTGAGAAACTCCTGGGGCGCTGCTTGGGAGGTCGATCAAGCTCCCTCCTACCCACTGGACATCCGCATCGTCAACGACAAGGGCCAAGAGGTACGCCCGGCAATTTTGCAGTGTAAGCATCTGTGCAAGTGATGTTCAGTACTTTGGAAGGTGCTGGCAAAAGGGGTAGGCCTATCAAGTCCTGGAATGACTATGTTAGGAAAGACTTGGATAGTCTTGGGCTGGCCCTGACATGGTGGAAAAGGTGCCAAGATAGGCCGAGCTGGAAGGCTGTCATAGAAACGCTGCTGCGACGCACCTAAGCCAACTGTGGCTTGGATAGGCGTGTAATAATAATAATAATAATAATAATAATAATAATAATAATAATAATAATAATAATAATAATAATAATAATAATAATAATAATAATAATAATAATAATAATAATAATAATAATAATAATAATAATAATAATAACAATAATAATAATACGTAATACAGTAATACCGTAGCATCTGTTTTTATGGGAGCACCCATGCAATAAACTACAGTGCTTCTTCTCGTTTGTCAAAGGATTGCGCCGCACCCTTGAGACAGCCGCACGCTGAGAACCAAGGAAGGCATTGAGGGGAAATTGCTGTAAAAATCATGGAGTTGTAAGGTTGGGAATGGGTGGATAGAGAGTATGGAGAGAACTCTTGGCTCCTGGCACCCCGAGACCTCCCGTCTCTCGGTTGACATCACAATCCGGCTCAGCTCTGCGCTGCAAGTCTCTGCTGTGAGGGTCTAGGGCGCACCCGTGGAAGTATATGGGGGACAGTTGCTGGGGGATGTAAATTATGTGTGCCTGCGCAGGTGATTGCATACAGTGCGATCAAGTCGGACGGCTCCAGTTCCTCGCAGCTGCCACCCAACATCCAGTTCACCAGCGGTGGTGCATCAAGCGTGAGATTCAGCCTCTACTGCAAGCAAGCACGTCTGATTCGATGCGCAAAATAACTGCCATGCATGTGGACGGGGCTATTCCCGAACACAATCACTGTTGCAGGATGCTGCATGAGCAGTGATGATGTTACATTGCCAATAATCTTCTGTAGCTTCTGTCACAAAAAGAATGATATGTAGTTTCGGTCACAGAAAAGATTAACTCATGATGTCATCTCTTGTCCTGTTCCTCCCTTTGTCAATATTACGTTGCCTTGCATGGAAACAGTTCCTGCAGCCTCGCACAAAATGTGATAATTTTGAATGAAAATTTATTTAAATTCTGAATCAATTGACCACATAATCTCCATGTGCTGCAGCCGCCAGTGACAGCGTTTGAGGGCCCAGCAGCTCAAGACGCGCGCTGCAGTGATCCGGAGGTCTCAGCCTTCAGTCTGGATGTCAACGCGCAGACCCCTCAGGCCTCCAACGGAGGGATCCCTAAATGCACCGCCTCGCCACCGCCGCCCGCGAAACCCCCACCCCAGCTGCCCCCCGGTGAGGCCCCCACTCACCTCAGCTCCCATGTCCTCCGGCTTCAAATTGACTCTTTCCCTGACAATGGACCGTTTCTCTGGAAATCAGGTCAGAACAGCCAAGTGGTGAAATTATAACTTTTGTGCAAGCGTCTGTCAATCTCAAGCTCGGTGTCAATCCTTCGAGATACAGGCTTCACTTGAAACCTTTACCGTTTGGAACAGTTCTGCTCTGGCCAGCAAACTTCTGAGTCAGATTTGTATAGCACTTTGAATCTGATCTGATCAGTGTGCTGGAATGGACGCTCTGTCCCTAGCTAGTGGTCAGTTCAGGTGCTCACACTTCTGTCATGCATGCAGCTGTGCCCGCTCCCGTGCTACCTGCGCCTCAGCTGCAGCAGCAGCCTCCCGCGCAGATTCCCAAACAGGCAACCTCTCCCGTAGTTCAAATACCGCCCCCTGTTAACAACCCCGCCAACGCTCTGCCGCCCATCAACCCTGTGCCAGCTGTCAACCCTGTGCCAAACCCTGTGCCAGCTGGCAGCCCCGTGCCAAGCCCCATGCCACCTGTCAACCCTGTGCCAGCTGGCAGCCCCGTACCAAGCCCCATGCCACCTGTCAACCCTGTGCCAGCTGCCAACCCCATCCCGGCCCAGCCAGTGCAGGTGGGCACTTCAATACAATCGAGTCCCATCAGAACGTTGTGCCTTGTATGCACTTGTGCTGTTCTGTTCTGGGAATTACCCAATTTTGGCCCACTGTAGGAGTACAATATGAGCTGGGGCTGTTTTTGCAGCCCTGCTTTTCCAATAAAGCGCTTTCATGCTCAGTGGAAAAGCTGGTACCTGAGGGTCTAGTGAATTACCCACTGTAGTGCAGTGGATGACAGATTAATTACGTGCACCAGGCGTCCCCTATGCCTGTGCCAAACCAGCCGGTGCAACCCGCACAGCCGGCGCTGCCCGCTGGGGCAGGCAGCCCTGCCCAGCCGGGCAGCCCAGTCAACCCCGACACGCAGCCAATGCAGGCAATGCAGCCGGCAGGCCCCAATCCCATGGCACAGCCCTCGCCTAATATGCCCGCCCCTGCACTGCCCGCTGCCCAGCCCGGGCAGCCCACTGGAGGGTCCCCTGTGATTGACCCCTGTGCCTGCCCAAATGTACCCCCAGACGCAACCTACAACTGCCAGCAGCAGGTGTGCACATGCTTTCTCACTGGATAAGGTCCTATCCAGATTCTGTAATGGCTCGCTTAGCCCCTGTGGCCTGGGCAGCATAAATACTGGCCACGGTTGATTGGGTCTTGCTAGGATCTGGCGAGTCCATCAAAGGGTAAGTTTTGCGGCAGCCTTCACTCGCAGGTTTTCTGCAGACACACCTTGCCTCTGGCAAGAACAGCGTTTAATATTAACAATAAGAATTTCTTAGCCATCAGCTATTCGCCATTAGCCAGAAAATGGCTTGCTTGTGCGTACTGACAGGCTAACATAGTGCAGATGGGTCAGGAGCCTGCTGCTGATATCAACAACTTGGTGGTGGAACCTTTCAGCAAGATCACAATGCCGTGTGGCAGTCCATGGAATGAGACTTATTGTTTGATTGGAGTGCATGCAGGCTTCGTTTGGAAAGTGCACAGACCTCTTCATGACGCAGCCGTCGCCGCAGCTGCCGAGCGGCTTCTGCGCAGCTACGTGCAAGCGCTGCCCTGGCTGCCCGGCGATTGCCTCTGGTGCATAGTGTGCTGACACGTTGCAATCAAGCAAGTATTTATGAGACAGTTCTGCAACACCTGTGAGTAGATTGAATTTCCCCAGGGGAGTGGACGTGTACCGTACTTGAACAGAAGCATGCCAGAGAGTAATGAATCTTTACCACCATGGGAATTCCCTCGAAACCTCAAAAGAACATTCGAACTTCTGTTGTATACTGTCAGAGGAGCAACCGTGCTTGTTATGGGTCTGTAAAGAGGAATAGATAAGCTACCTGACTCTTTATTATTGCTAGGTTATTGTTGAGAAACCTTGCAAGAACACCTGCGATGTACAGGGATAGGCAATTGGATCGGTCAAAAGATGAACTGTGCCTCGGACAGACCGAAGAGCCATTGTCGAGCTGGATCTCCGCAGGTTGTCTTTGTGTGATACATCGAAGTTAAATAGACTGTAAGTTAGGAATCAAAAATTCCTGGTACACTGCATTTTATACATTGGTTTAGAGAGTAACGAAGTGGAGTCCCGACCCGCAAAGCGTTCGACACAACAAGGGAGGGGGTTTCGAGGTCAACGTACCCACTTTCTTAGGGACTCGCACGAAGAACGTCTTTTGTAAGCCGTTCATCAATTCTGCTTGGACGTCAAGCTCATAATGGCGAGTGTTGCCACAGCACTCGGGGAGTATCTCGTCGGACCTCACTATTACGGTGACCCCAAGAACACCTTCGCTGTGCTTTTCACATAATTAAAGCTGCGTTGAGCATACCGATTGACTCGTTCGAATGATCCCGGTCTCACCTCCAGCGCTCGGTTCAACTGTTCACAAGACGGGAGTGTGTTCCGAGAACCCCTGCGAATATACGTCTCACCTGGTGAGCGATTGATCTGGAGCTATTTCCCGTTAAAAACTAGTTTGTGCACAGATGAGAGGACTTCTGGCTGGCCGCTTGTGGACTGGAAGGCTGCAGTGGCCGTCTCGGCAATGTGTGAGTCCCTGCTCCCTCGATTTGAAGAGATCTCCAGAGACGTGGCCCTCTCAACTGATGAAAGTTGCATCCGCCACACCCCTGCTGCGTGTGTTGCACACATTGCAAGGACACCGAAGCCATTTTCAGTCAACACGACTACAAGTACAGGAAAGGCTGTGACATCCCAGAGGGATTCAGCCCAATTCAAGCTCGCCACATCTACTGCCAAAATCACCAGGCAGATTGTGACACCTGGGGCCTGCCCAAAGACATCAAACAGCGCTGTCTGGGCGACCCTGCATCTCTGTCAACGCACCGTCAAGGTTCTGTTCTGATGCTGGAGCAGACATTCTTGGTGTGGATTTGGGCAAGCGGCTGATGCGCAACCGCAAGCCGGTCAACCTCAAGGCGTTTGCAATGGCGCACAACTTTGTCATGTTCTCTGCCAGCCTCTACATGGTCATCGAGACCGTGCGGCAGGTAAGGATGCACTTAAGCCCTTCTAATTGAAGGACATGTAGCAATGGGCTCTGACATCGGCCCTGCTTGGCCGGGGCCCATTAGAGATACTGAGCACAGTTCCTGTGGAATTGCATTGATCTGGCAAGCCCGGAATTTCAAGAGTTGCAGTATGTGAAGATCATCTGCAGAGGAATCTTGTATCCTTACATGATTAGCGTGTAGTCTCTATGGCACACTCTGTGCTGTAATTCAGGCGTAGAAGTTGGACAGCCCCTTCCAAAAGGAAGCTAGCATGTAAGCAAGAGTCCCCTTGAATCTGCCAGCAGCATCCCAGTAAGGGATACTGCGAATTACATTGGTTGCCTATCAGTGTGAGTGGCTGCAGGCAGCGGACAACTTCCGGTGGGGCCAGCTTGGTGGCGGCGGCGTGTGGGGCAATATTGCAGAGGCGCCCGGCAAGCCGTTGAGCCCATCTGGACACCGCATGGCGCGCGTGCTGTGGATTCACTACCTCTCCAAGGTGCTGCACATCTTTTCACGAGCTCTATCGCTGTCAACTATTGTCATTCTCATCCATTGCGGGCTCTCTTCTGCGAGCTTGTTGCACGGGCACACTGGAGATGCACTTAGCATGTAGCACAAGCCATGTGCTCAGCTGATCGCATCCTTCGAAAGGTATCCCTTTCCATTTTTTTAGCATGGCCACAGCAATAGAGGGCAACAAGCTTTGCAGGTCGCCTGATCCTGAAGATGAACCAGACAGGCATGCAAGTGAGGTGTGGTGAGCAAAAGTCAAGGTGTGACAGTCTGATGTGGCAGGCGTACGAGTTCACGGACACGCTGATAATGATCCTAAAGAAGAACGAGCGCCAGATCAGCTTCCTGCATGTCTATCACCACGCCACCACCTTCTTCCCCTGCTGGTATGTCCCAGCTCCTTCCCCATATCAGTGGTGTCTTGCGATGCAACACAAGTCAGTGACTCTCTTAGTCTGGGGAAGTTGGGACTCCCAAACTTGAACAAAATCCTGCAGCTTTGCATGACTGGTGTGCTCAAATCTCATCATGATGTGAGATGACGATGGCCGGGCCATCAGATATCAGCCCTGCCCGGAGAGCAGCTTGTGTGGTCCTGAGCTCGTTGCAGACGGCGGGGTGATCATCATAGAGAAATCGTCAATCTGCCGCAGCTCAGAATCTGCACATTGCACTGTTCAGTGCGTGAGATTGTTGACTGCCATGCCTGCCTGCGCAGGTGGTCGGTGATGAACTTTGCGCCGGGCGGTGACACCTACTTCACATGCGTCCTCAACTCTGGCGTCCACGTTCTGATGTGCGTCCCCATCCCCTCTGAGACACCCAGAGTACCATTCTCTGTGACATGACTTCTGGCAAACAGCTCATTGTCGCAAAATTTTACATCACTGCATGCAGTGCAACGCCGCACATGCTGAGCATCAATAAGGGAATTACTTTGTTGTTTGTATTTTTTGCATGCTGCATCTGTCCGGTTGTGTAAGAAGTCACAGCCTCAGCCTCCGCCGGGTAGTAGATTAATCTCAGATATCAGGCAGCAAGGGTGACATATGGCTGCAGGTACGGCTACTACTTGGCAGCGGCAGCAGGAGTGAAGGTCCCCAAGGGCGTCAAGAAGTCCCTCACGACCGTGCAGCTGGCGCAGTTCGCGCTCTTCTTTGTGCACGCCCTCTACGGCGCTGTCTATGCCACCCACTACCGGCCTCGCATCATCATCGTGCTCTGCCTGTTCCAGGCAGTGGTGTTCGCCAGCCTCTTTGGCAACTTCTTCTGGTGCGCAGCTTGTCTCACGATCATGTTTGCAGGTTTGCATGGCCCGTGACTCATCTGTCTTTCATGAGCTGTCTCTAGATCACTCGTGAAGTGTGACGCATATCACTTACTAGAGGACTGCGGTCCAGTGAATCTTTTTTCTTGTGTACCTCTTCGGATGTCACTAAGACAATATCTTATATCGTAAGGTGGTCCAGAAATGGCTCTAAAGTTGCTGTTTGCATGGATGCAGGAATGCTTACATGAAGCAGGCAAAGGACGGGCAAGAGAAGAAGAGGACCTAGAGCAAGAACTCCTCTCAGAGAAAAGAAACGTTCATTCACAATAAAATACAAGCATGAACACTCAAAATGGGATTGCGCGCCCTGATCTGCGTTCAAGCAGCCGTCGTGATCCATCATATTTGCAGGCCTGCCTGCCTGCATGCGCACGCCAGTGATCGTGCCGGGACAGAATAAATTTTAATCACCCAGAATTAAAACACAGGCGAATCGCGCAGGGAAAATTACTTTGCCAGCAGATTGTGCTGTAGAGTTGACATGCAAGGAGAACAATTCATGTGGGTATAATTTTACATGATTTGTCCGACAATTCAAATGGCACACCAAAGGGCCCTCAACCCTGACCCTATCTCAGGCTGAAATTCTTTGAGATGCTTTGTGATGACTGAAAGGAGCACGTCTCATTGGCATCTGTCCAGTGCTCCAATGGGTAATCTAGGTGTATGTCTTGATTGGTACCTCTGATAAAACTTGAAGCATACGACTGAACACCTCATCTGGCCATCTTGCTTACTAAACACAGCAGATTTGACCCCCAGCGAAAGGATGGCATGTCTGGATGATGGAAATGTGTTGAATAAGCAGTCATTGCCAATCAAGGAGCCCTCTGGGCAAAGCCAGGTACCCTATCAGAGACAATTTCAACCATCCTGAGCACAAGCACCTCCTTTTAATCTCCGCAGCATTAATCGAGAACCTTGAGTGCCTTGACAGGTGATCGAACAGACCGTAACGTACATGGAAGAGCCTCTCATAGGAGCCTTCAGATCGAGCGAAGCGAGGTGAGCAAACCACTTCGTTGCATGAACATACATGTCACTATCTGTCAGTGGCTAATCATCTCTGTTGCAATCAAATGCAATACAGTACGTCTTTGATGCTTGCTTTAAAGATGTAACAGCAACTTGCTTGCCCTTTGGGTGGGATTGCTCGCCTTCTGATGCCCACCATCTTGAAATATGACACTGGCTCATGACAGCTTTCAATAGTTTTCTTAGCGATATCTGCTTGCAGGATCCCTAGGGAGGCGCACTGCTGCTCAGAGGCCCTTCCTGGGCCGCACAAAGCTTCGTTGCCCAGCCATGACAGCAAGGATCAGACAACCGCCAGCCCGGCCAACACCCTGCCAATTGAAGACTGGCTAAAGGTGCTGCAGCTAGAATTTCAAAACGAATCTTGTGCATCCCTGCGATTTCAACGCATACAACCTGCCACCAACGCATACATCATCGAGTTTTGCTGCTGGATGCAGTGCATTGCTGATCCGGCACTTTCATCAAGTATGTAGAACGATGTGCCACTGAAACGACAGCCTGATGTATTTGTGGGTTCCTGCGAAACAGGAGGAGCCGGTGCACGAGCGGCGCGTGGCGCTGCCGCCGCCGCAGCAGCCGGCGCCAACGGCAATTAACGTGTGGAGCCTGCTGAAGGATATGGTGGGCAAGGGGGAGCTGTCGCGTGTGGCCACCCCCGTGCAGTTCCTGGAGCCCCTCTCCGAGCTGCAGCAGCGCTGCGAAGACATGGAGTTTTGCGAGCTGCTAGATCAGGTGTGGGCTTCTGTCCCCTATTAGAAACTCCTCAAGCTGCTACATCAGGTGTGGCCCCTCACTTGCCGATCCACAAGCATGCATGCTTCCCGCAGAGCCGGATTGGGGGAGCATGCACGCTGCAGAGGCCTGATGTTGTTGAATCCTGGATGCATGCTCTTTGCATGCTTCCCATCTTGATCATGTTGTGGTGACAAGGATGTGATAGGTCTCCGAGGACAAAACTGCATGTTAAGCTTGGCAGAATGGATTTTTGAACCCACCTGCGCGTGCGTATGTGCCCGCCTGGTGAAGAGAAGCAGAGACGTTGCAAAGACATGGCATTCTCAGAATTGCTTGATCAGGTTTGGCCAATAATTGATTACCCATGGGTGACCTTCATTGCTGCACAGACCTACACGGTCCTTGCATGCTTCCTGCCTTGATCACCTTACGAGGAGTCAAAAGCATTACCCGAGGCTGGTGTATGGTCAAGATTGTGGGGGCAGACATTCACAGAAAACTGCTATTTTGTGGTATTGCAGGCAGCTGCTGTGGAGCGCTGCAGCCTGGAGCGGCTCTTACTAGTGACTGCGTTTGCCGTGTCGGCCTACTCTGGCGTCAAGCGCACCTGCAAGCCATTCAACGCGCTCCTGGGCGAGACCTACGAGCTGGCCTGCCCAGAGAAAGGCTTCCGCTTCATCTCAGAGAAGGTACGCTCACCTGTTCCCCAACATTAAATCCGCCATGCAGACCCAGCCCCACTAATGCCCTCTTAGGGACTGCCAGGAACTCTGTGCAGCTCAGGAGGCGGGCCAAGTTCCACCTCATCTGCAAAGCCACTGGGGTGATCTTGTCAGGACTGCGCAGACTGCAGGATCTCTTATCCGGGGGTCTGAAAGTCTGCGCCAAGGCTTGGTGGCGAGATAGACTTCTCAAATTGCGCATGATGCCTCTGTAATGCGACCGGCAGAGGGTCACCAAACATGTGCATGCACTGTTTAGAAAGCTGAAGCCAAGCGTCTTTGCATGCTGTAATTTTTATGGTTTTTAGGGGTTGGGGTTCTCTCTATATAAAAGTAAATATATATATATATATATACATGACTCTGAAACTCCTGGTCCCTTGCGCAGGTGCAGCACGAGCCGACCACAATAAACCGCGTTCTGGCGGAGGGCCGCGGATGGACGTTCGAGCTGGAGGACGAGCTGCACACGCGCTTCACGGGCACGGCGGTTGAGCTGGCACCCATCGTGCTGCTGCAGGTCACGTTCTCCGACGGCGACACCTACCGCTGGGGCAAGGTGCGCGCACATGGGTCCTACCGCATCCCGCTGATGTCAGCATGTCATTTTGAAAGGTGCCTGTGACTTCATGCGCATCTTCCAAAATGGCCATGGGAGATGTTTGCCAAAATTTGCCTTCCGCAGTCATCCTTTAAGAGCAAATTCCGGCAAAGAACAATGCAGCTGACTGCGATGTGATACTCTTGTGCCTTTGTTCATTTTGGCAGTTGTGTGTGCTCCGTGTGAAGCTTCCTGCTCGCAGCACCTGCTGTGTCCCTAATGCAAAAGTGCAGTCGCATAGAGTCTAATAACAGCTAACAGCACTGATCAGGGTTAGTTTGTGTGCATGGCAGGCCACGACGTCGATAAACAACGTGATAATGGGGCGGATCAATTTGGAGCACAAGGGCTCCTGGCGGCTGCAGGGCGTGCACAGTGGCCTCACCGCCTGCATGAAGTTTCATGCCTCCACCATGCTCTCCTCCAAGAGCAAATTGCATGAGGTGGGTGCATGCCCAATCAGGAGCCCCCTTTCCAGGGGCTTTCTGACGTTCAATTCATGTTTTCTATTCCTAATGATTGCAAAATTCATCAGACATATTGCACAGCTCAAGTACAATATGTGCTCGATAATAAGTGACAGTGTGTGAGTATACTGTGGTGTGGGGGGTAGGTTTCGGGGGTGGTTGAGAAGGACGGGGTGGCGATGAAGGGGGTGAAGCTGCAAGGCAAGTGGGACAGGGAACTGCATGCAGACCTGCCCGATGGGTCCTCCCGCCTGCTGTGGGGCGTGAACCCCCCGGCTGCAGACCCCTCAAGGTGCGCCTGATCACATGCATCATGCATGGCAGGGCTGAAAAATGCTGAATAGCTCAGGTATATCCTTCTCTTGATAGGCCAGCCTGTTTTTAATACACCACGCAGCGGTGTCAGCTCATGCTACAATCATCATACAGTAGAGCACAAAACATATTGCACCCACATGGTGTTGTAGTAAACCCGCCAGAGCATACACACGATGTGGCCACTCTGCACCTTGCACACGCTACCGAATTGATGCAACATCCCTCTGCAATGCGTGGATGGAATTCAAACCTAGTCGAGCAAAAGAGGATAGTGCAAAATGAGACAGCATGCCTGTGGCTGCTCAGAAACGCCGCATCCTCCCGCTGCAAGGCTCTTGGTTGCAGTGGAAGTAGAAAGGCAGTGGCTCTTTCCCTGTCCATGGTGATCTAGGTTGCTGAGAGGGACGAGCGGTGTGGGATGGCAGGTACTGCATGACGCCGTGGGTGCTGCGCCTGAACGAGCTGACGCCGCAGCTGGCGGGGCGGCTGCCGGCCACCGACACGCGCCTGCGCCCGGACGTGCGATGCCTCGAGCTCGGCATCTACGACCAGGTGCAGGAGCCAGCCTCTCGGCGCAAATTCTCTTGCTGGGCTTGCAGGGGTACAGAGGGCCCATGTGCACCTCAAGGCCTAGTCATAGCAAGACCGTCTCCATGACCCTTGAATTGCCTTGTGGAGGGGAAGCTGCAGGATGGAGTTGCATGTGGAGAGGCTGCAATGTCGAGTACCTCCTGAGGAGTGTTGTATGAGGGTTCCTTTCGCTTTGTTGGGACTTGAAATCTCAGACTGCCCATGGTACAACGTCCTACCTAGAGATTATTTGTCCTGCATTCCTTGGAGCGCTTAATCACATATGGGATGCTGGCGATATTGCAAGCCAAAACTGGCGAGTGCATGTATGCGCAGGCGGCAGTCCACCACAAGCGGATGGAGCAGGCGCAGGTCGCCAGGCTGGCAAGCGCTGACTCAGCCGTACCACATCAGCCGCGCTGGTTCGAGCGCGTCCCGGGCCCCGGCAAAATCGGCGAGGAATATATTTTCCGGTACCGCGGCGGCTATTGGGAGACCCGCGCCGCCGGCGCTTTTGTCGAAATGACACTGCCAGAATTGACGTGAGTGAAATGAAGGAAATGTGCAAGATATGAGGGCAGTGCGAGCCCCCACTGTCGAGGAGAAAGGGCTGCCTTGCGGTGAATGGAAACAATGCAGCCGCAAGAAACGGTGTGAATGTCCAGACGAGAACCCGACGGAATTGAAATGAACCCGCCGACAGGAACTTGCCAGCAAGAAAGCGCGGAACCGCATGCACCTCCTGATGGACTTCGTTTGATCAGTTGCCGACATGAGCGAGGCAAACAGCCAAGTGGGCGGGTGCTGCAGCACGAACAAAGATTGGCACTGACAGCGTTGCAAGGTTTATAGGGACGGACAGAATATGTGTAGTTTCGTCGTTTAGCAAGGAGATGATGCTATGTCATCTTGTTATGTGCATGGGAGTGGCAATGTGCAACATGCCAAGCGAAGACCTGCCCTGCTCCTCCTTTTGAGCTTTGCAAGCACAGTGAGTCTAGAGATACACATGTGTGCGCTTGTAACTGATTTAACGCTAATTTTGACGAGTGTGACACATGTCATGGGATGAGCACTACTACTGTTGCCAGATGATCTCATGCTGGACAGGTGGCACTTTAGGTAACAGCACATAGCTTTAAAAACACCCAAAGGCATCTAGGACTCTGCTCAACAACATTTTGCCAGCCAGACCGATTCCAGGTAAAATTGGCCCCACTCAATCAAACATATTGTAATGCATTTAGCGATCTACAAAGCACTGAATACAGCGTAAAAAGGTGCTCATGCCAGCAAAGTTCGACTAGAGGGCCTCCCCAAGACTTTCTCCGTACAGTATGCGAATATCAGTGTGAATTGTATGCGCGCATGATATCAGCAAGAATGCTTCATAAATGGCAGCTTTTCCAATTAGAAAACCAAACCAAGGCATTCCATTCCCCTTCAAGGCCCGTGCGCACGCGCATCATATGCGCGTTGATGTGCGCAGTACCTAAGTTTCTTGAAGACCAAATCAAGGCCACCGCAGCCTTACGGTGCTGTTCCAAAGAGAGTTCATCTACGTAATGCATGCTGTGAAGCATGATGGAATTGTGTAACCATACCTGCAACCTCTGCACTGTCCAAGGAGACCTAGTGCTCTTTAAAGCAAGTGTAAGAGATGTTGTAATACGAAATCCTCTTGACAAAAATCTCAAGTGCTGGCAAGCAAACCTATAAATGGAGGGGCCGCACATTGCAAGTGCCCTTTGCCTGATGCATGCAGGCTGCAACGAGACGCAAAAGCCGGGCAAAACATTGCACAATCTCAAGCTTTTCTTGCTACGGCACTTGCCATGGTAATCAACCCCGCCGACTGCTGCTTTCTTGCGACTCCGTTCAGATCATTGGGTCTCTTGGACAGCCAAAGTGCGCAACAGGAAACAGGGGCCAGAATGGGGTCTGCACAGCAAGGCCAAGGAAACCGCACGCCTCCCAACAGGCCATGCACCAACATGCTCATTTTCCAGCGTACAGTTTCTCGCTGCAGAACCAAGGCACAACCCCTGATCATCGATTTGTAGTCTGGGCGTTGCAAGCGATGCGCGTAACCGTGCAGGAATTGCCCAGCAAGCGGGGCGAAGCAAGCCGGACCCTGCGCGCATCTGTTGAGGCCCTCAGGACAATTAGCGGGGAATAGCTAAGGCGCATGCCAGCAATATATCAAATCTGCCAATTTGGAAGACTGCTGCGTCTCCCAGAAAATGCGGGCTGCGCTCAAACTGCCCATCTTTGCATCCAGGTACCACGGTGCAAAAAATCCTGATCTGATGGTTGTATCAAGCAGGACAAGATATCAGATCCAAAAAAAAACCTCCCCAAGGCACACACCCAAACCTCCGACCCTTCACACAGTTGGGTGATACATCTCCGGACAGATTTTCAAGAGAGCACAGCCTCTACACAAGATAAGCGTTCAAGGTTACGGCTTGCCGAGAAAGGCAAGGTGATGCCAACAGAGCTCAATTTGGCGCGCATCAAAAGTGAGCAGCCACCAGCTCAAAATCTCAACTTAAGGGGCCCCGTAATAAAGGACACTTCGCCCACTTTCTGCCTCATAAAATCCTGCGCCCCGGCAACCCACACACCAATAGTGACTATGAAGCATAAGCCACGTGGGCGCGGCTGTGACAGCCAGTGGCGCCAAATAGCAGCAAGAGCCGCAGCCCTTCTTTCCTCCAGAGCAGCCAGTTGCTAGCGGCTTCGTTAGACTTTCCTTGCAGTGATGACGTGAAGGGGCCAAGCCCCAAAGGCTTGGCATGACATCAATAATCTGGTGCGATTGATATCCTCCCGTGTACGGTAGACAATCACCCGTGTGGTTTTCAGGCTTGGCGCGCCCATTTGTCTCGCTGCGCTGCAGGGTGACACTCCTCCTTGGGCGTCACAGGCCTCTCCTGGGTCTGTATCAGGAGTTCAGCATCATACATATCCCCGAGGATGAAAGAGCGCATCAGGCGTCGGCGGGGCCGACGGCGCCGTTGCCGATGACGCCGCCGAAGAGCGCGAGGAAGTCCTCCTCGGAGTAGACTCGGCCGTAGCGCGCGTCGTCTGTGAATGCTTCCATGTCCCAGTAGCGCGGCAGCGAGTTCACCTGCCCATCTGCAGGCCACACACACGGCCTCATGTGTTGACCCCTCGTCGTTGAGGACTGAAGCCGGGCGCAAGTGTTGACCCGTAGGATCGAGTACTGAAGCCGTGAAACGTTCGGAGTTGATCCATGGAAGCAATGGCCTGTCCAGAGCTAGCCGTGAAATACTCCCAAATTGATCTGCAAGCAATGGCCCGTCAGAGGTTGTCAAGATCTGTGCGAGGAGAACTGCAGAAGGTTACTGCGTGCTGAGCTCCCTTGCAGTGTGCCCTGCAATCCTGTGCAGGCGGTGCCAGGCATAGGGCATCTTGCTGCCAGAGGCACGGGTGCAGGAGAAGATACAGCGTAGGAGTTGCACTGTAATCTGTTGCATTTTATCTGCGGTGATGACCAGGGGCACGGCCAACTGTTGGGAAAGGGTGCCTTGCCTCTTGCGACGATGGTGGGGTAGGGAGGCACGGGCTTGGACCAGCCTGGCACGCCGTCCTGGTTCCACATGTGGCTGCGATCCGAGCCAAAATGCTCCAGGTACACAGCTGCAGGAACCACCCGGAACTTCCTGCACAACCAACCGAACGCAGTGAGGTGTCAATTCTCGAGCCACACCTCAAAGTGGCGCATGCGTCGCAAGTGGATTGGCATCAGTGCAGATGCCAGGCTGCAGCAAGGCTCGTTGACTGGCAGCATGGGTGCTTCTGAGGCTCAGTACCGCCTTGGGTAGGCAAAGGCTCTGCACCTTGCGAGCCGGAAGCTTGATCCTGGGCCGAGACCGCGCCGCGCATAGAGAGCCAGGGCGCAGGGCTTGGGCAGCTGACTGCAGGGCACAGCACAAAGATTCTATGATGGAGGAAAAGTGGGCATGAGCTGCTTCTGCAGGAGCAGCAGACACAGATCACAGGATTGGTGAATGCCACGGTCGAAAAACACCATAAGGAATCTTCAGGCTGCGGGTTGCATCGTCAAAGCTCAGATCTGGATTTTTTTTTCTGGGTAGGAACGGCAGCAAAGCCTTTTGGCCAGCGTGGTGTGTGTGCTTACGACAGCACCGAGTGAGGGCGTCACAGCCATCCTACTCTGTCGGGCAAAATCCACTACTTTAGTGGACATGCACTCCACTACATTAGTGGATTTGGCTCTCTTTCTGAGCACGCCCCTTCGGGGCGTGCAATAACAAAAGCAATGCTGCACATCCTTCAGATTTACCTACAACAATCTCAGCATTGCATAGTACCTCCGTCAAGCTAATTATTTCGGTCAAGCCTGTATCTATAGGATCGTGCGCTACTCGTTTCTGCGAAGACAGCAATGCCATTTGCCAGGTTACCGTTGCAAAGTAGGATTTGAAAGGGGGGTGGGACGGCCGCAAATGTTTATGGGAGTAATTTAAACGAATTCTTGAAGTCTTCTGTCGCTGGCCATGTGAGGTTCGCACTTTTGCCGGTTTTTTGGCATCCCCATCCTTGACTTGTTTGGACTCAGCTAATCGAATGTCACGACCATCGACGTGCATGTCTACTTCTTTCGTAGTGACTGCATGCCCTGCCAAGCCAATTCCTTGAAATGAAATGCGTGCAGGCAACACAGAGCGTTCACCTGAATTGAGCACTGATGCACCGGACAGACACTGAAGTCGTCTACAATCTAAACCAACATCAAGTTCAATTGTTCTGGTGAGCGTTACGATCCCTCTGCTGCTGTGAGTAGCCGTGGGTGTCTGCCCTGACCTGGCTTTGCTTGGAATGCCAATCTGATGAGGAGCATCTGGAGAGGACTGTGCACCCCAAAGAGTAGCAAGTAGCCCAGGTGCTTGTAAGGATAGTTGTATCACTTGTACTAGAAGGCATGCTGCTGATGTACTTCTCATTCCTTTAATGTCCTGGTGGATCACTTGCAGAAACCGTTGTGTGATGACTTCATGCAGGACGAATGGTCAGGAACAAGAGGTGGAGGGTCAGTGTCAAGGTGATACCATCAGCCGACACTCCTGCTCTGCTGCAGCCAGGCCGCAGATTTGGGAGGAACCTAGGCAGCACTGTGGCAACATCTGCACCGAGGGGACCCCGGAGGCCGGCCAGCGCCCTTCCATCCTGGCGGATCCCTGCAAGAAACACAGCTCAGCAGGAAGAACAGCAGGATGGCTTTGCAGATGGAGATGGAGAAGCCGCTGCTGCCTATTATCAGCCTCCGCCCTCACGCCGGCGTCTGCGGAAACAGGCAGCTCAAGAGGATAATAGACGGCTGCACCAAGCATGGGATGCGTGCTTTGATGACAATGTATTCAGGAACACATGTTTCCAAGCTGGTCAGCCTGCACGCCAAGCAGCACTGAAGCAGCAGCTGCAGGCAGAGTTTTTGACAGCTGCCAGAGCAGCCCTGCCCGCTTGCAGTCCATGCAGTCAGGCTGGGAGGGTGGGATCAGTGTGGGAGCAGGTGGAGACGATCAGCAGGCTTGTGTATGTCTCGATCAGCGGCAGGACAGAGGTCAGCCCCCCAGCATTCAGGTGTGGCGGGTGCAGTGCCGCCTTCACAGTCGATCCTGTGAGCATGGGATGCTTTCCTGCAACGCCACAGAGGCCGCTGGTTTACTACTCTGGAGCGCTCATGTTGCAGACGCATGAGCTCAGCCTCGCCAGCCCAACCTCAATGGTCGCCTGGACTAGCGCCCTGGAGGAGGTGCACGTCAGGAACGGCTGTGTGCCGTACGGGCAACTGAGTGGCCTGCCCAAAAATATCTGGAGGAACCTCCCAGTGGCGGTCAGACAGTGGCGCAGAATGGACATCGCCACACATGACCTCAACAGGCTTGGCGTGCAGCCCATCTGTTCGGAGGCAGGGCTCAGCGGTGACTCAGACTTGCAGCTCGGCCAGCCGCCGCCGCCCCAGGAGAACACTCAGAGGGAAGCAGCAGCGTCGTCATCGCCACCAGAAATGGAAGCAGGCAGCCTCGCGGCTCAAACTGGCAGAGATGCAGCTGAGGTGGGCCCGGCGACCCAGGAATCTCTGGACAGTCGTGCCTCCGGGGGCCCCACTGTGCAGTGTCCTTGCTGCTTTCGCACTTGCGTGGCAGCCATTGCTGACGCCTGCCTGGGACTCACGCAGCTCAGGGCGGCGGGCAAAGCCTCTGATTTCCTGCAGCCGAAGCTGCCCTATAGCCCCTTCATTGCTGATGAAGAGGTGAAGGCCTTGCTCGCTCAACGGAAGGCCTTGGACCCGGCGGCGCTGGAGCGGCCGGTCTGCTCTCAGTTCGTTGCTGCCACGCCAACCGCCTCAGACACGCAGCTGCGCCTATATGTGCAAGTGAGTCTCCTCGCATTTTTCTGGGATCTTGTTGCGCTTACTGATGTTGGCATGCATCTCATATATCCATGATTTTTTTCTCTTTTTTTCCTGGCCCCGGCTGGCAAGGGTAATACTTGGCAGCACCCTAGCGTGCCTTGCTTCAGGTGGTAAAAATACTGAATACCATGCCCACGGTTGATTGGGTCTTGCTTGGATCTGGCGAGTTCAACAAGGGGTAGGGTTATGGCAGCCTTAAATTGCAGCTCTGCAGGATGTACCTTGCTTGGCAGGAAAGCGTGTAACAAGAAGATGTGCTGGTGCTTTGGAGCCGGTCTGACACTCCCGCATGTGCTTGTGCGTAGGGCGTGGCAGCAGCAGTTTGCCGCCACGGGTATGTTCTCGTGGCGGCAAACCTGTTCACACCGGAGTGCTTTGTTTACTACGAGTTGCTCCTGCAGCGTCTGCTGAAGGAGTTCAAGCCTGAGGAGGGCAAGGATCTGAAGTACTTCTTCATTGACATTGCTTGCCAGTTTGACCCATATTGGCGAAGGTATAATCTTTCGTCCATCATGCCTGGCGTTTACGTCAAGATGTGCCCTGTACAATTATTGCATGGAACAATTTCACTCCTAGTGTCTAGTACTAGTCATGCTATGAGTGTGTGGATTCGTCGGAGTGCACAGCAGCGTCCCCTTTGAATGGTGATGTGTTGTGCTGGCAGGATGGTTCAAGGAAACGTGGAGGGTATGCCTGGCCTGGCAGTGGGGCCGTGGCATGTGAAGGCTCACATTCCGGCATGCCAAGAAAAGTATGGCGCCCGCCGCATGCTAGCGGCAGGAAACTCCTTTGGTGACAACATTGAACAGGCTTGGGCACATTACAGGAAATTTGCACACATCTTGAAGCGCATGGCGACTGCCACGCGGGAGGACTACATGACGGACCTGGTGAGTTCTCCTTTCATATGATGCAAGCTCTTGTAGCCTTGCTCGATGTTGCAGTTTGTAACCCTGTAGGTGCGAGAAGTGACAATGTTGGTCCATGTGCAGGCGATGGCTTGGCAGCGAAAAAAGGAGCGCAGGTTGCCCAAGCAGCTGCTTGAGTGGCATAGGAGGGCTGCTCGACTGCTGGCACAACTGCGGCAGTCCACGGGGGCCCTCAAGCAGGAGATTGCCCAAATCAAAGCCCCCGAGTTGCAGGTAAAATGCACCCCTCCTAGTTGCTGCACCTGTCTCTACTGATTCTCTGGGGAGATGCCATCTTGATATATCCTGCAGTCTGCAATGCTTTGCATGCTCGCTTATTGGCTGATGAATCAGGTGCAGGGTGGCGGTGGCTCAGGAGGCGTCCCATCACCGGCAGGCCAGGATCCTCTCCAAGGCGGCGCTGGTGCAGGCGCAAGTGACGAAGCAGAGGTGTGTTGGTCCTTTTTGAAGGCTCTTCTCTAGCATGGAATAAGTATCAATGGGTATGCTAGTGAGAAGGAGGTGCTCAGAGGACTCAGAGTAAAGAGCTGCCTCAGAAGAAAGTATGCAAGCAGATTGTTTGTTTTGCACGCAGGGGTCTGCCCGGGAGCAGCGGCAGACATCGTCTGAGGGGGCATCAACAAGCGCGCCCACCATCCCGGTGCTGCTCCACTCTGCACCTTCAGTTGGCTGTACTGGTGCTTGTTCATATGACATGATAGGACATTTGACATGTGACTTATGACATGACAGGACAAGACATGACAGGATGTGCATACTGGTGGAGTTTTTGTAAAGAGCAAATGGGATGCACACCTTTGGAAGATACATAAAGATGCATGAATCACTGATGTCAGGATTCTTACTCGCAGGCCCGTCTTACATGGGAGCACCACTACCAAGGCTGCTTGGAGGAGTTGTACGCGCTGGGTGGCAGTGTGACTCTCGCAGCTGAGGGGCAGCAATCGCTCTCCGAGCAAATGCGGCATGAGCACCGCCGAGTCCTTGAGGGCAAGCTGGCAGCGTGGGAGCGCAGGCACCGGGTACAGCTGCGGTGGGTGGAGGCAGACCGGTTGTACCAGGAGATAGGGGGTCAGCGGAAGAGGTTCATGATTCAGCAGCTACATGCTTCCATTGCAGCCAGGTTCGTGGATTACTACGCCCTACAGAGACAGCTGGAGACAGCGGCATATCGTGAGCGCACTAGCCTGAAGCGGTTGCGGCGCCAGATGGAAGCCATCGTGTCCAAAGTCAGCGATGACATCCTTCAGCTGCGGCGCTGGCATGCCGCCCCTGGGGACTATCAGGGAGCGCAGTATGACTGCCAGCGCTTGACCGCCCCTGGCTTGCTCGCGGCAGACACATTGCCGTGGCAGCGACAATCTGCTCAGGCAGGGTTGCTGGCTAGGAAACTGGCCGCGCTGGCGGAGCAGCAGGAGCGCTTGAAGCGGTGCTCCGAAGAGATGACCATCGTGCGGCGTGAGGCCAGGGATATGGTAGTGTTTTATGAGCACTACGCCCAGCAAGTGCAGCAAGCCGCTGGGAGGGGAGAGCGCCGCCTGCCCAGCGCCCGACAAGTTCCCCATGCGGCGGAGCTGGGGGAGGCGGGTGTGCATGCAGCCCTTGAAGCTTTCCAGCTCGGGCAGCAGGTGGTGCTCCTCTCCAAGCTTGAACAGTATCAGCACT